CCTGGATTTCAGAAGGTGTTAGGTGAGGCTAAATGTTCAAATTTAATGACAGATAAAATTCCAGTGTGGATTTAATTGAGCATCACCTGGATTTCAGAAGGGGTAGTTCAGGCTAAATGTCCAAATTTAATGACAGATAAAATTCCAGTGTGGATTTGACTTAACTTGAGCAGCACCTGGATTTCAGAAGTGGCAGTGTAGGGTAGTTGAGGTGTTTGAGGCTTTGGGTAGTTGAGGCTAAATATCCAAATTTAATGACAGATAAAATTCCAGTGTGGATTTAATTGAGCATCACCTGGATTTCAGAAGGTGTTAGGTGAGGCTAACTGTCCAAATTTAATGACAGATAAAATTCCAGTGTGGAGTTAAATTGAGCAGCACCTGGATTTCAGAAGTGGCAGTGTAGGGTAGTTGAGGTGGTTGAGGCTTTGGGTAGTTGAGGCTAAATGTCCAAATTTAATGACAGATAAAATTCCAGTGTGGATTTGACTTAATTTGAGCAGCACCTGGATTTCAGAAGCGGCTCCTTTCCTTAAAAAAACAAAAATTCTGAAAACAGGGTTGCATGCAATGCAAATTAATGGATCAAAATTAACCTTGCAGAGCAGTAAATGTGTGTTTTAAGGTAAATTTCTGGATTTTAGTTGGACTCATCTCCTTTGCTTTCCCACGGAGCAGGCAGTGATGCTGGTGCTGCTCTCTCCCTGCAGGTACCTGGTGAATTTGGGTTGTATCAAGCCCCTGTGTGACCTGCTGACTGTCATGGACTCCAAGATTGTCCTGGTGGCACTGAACGGGCTGGAGAACATCCTGAGGCTGGGAGAGCAGGAAGCCAACCAGAGTGGGACTGGCATCAACCCCTACTGCAGCCTGATTGAGGAGGCCTATGGTACGTGGGGCCTTGGGCACTGCAGGTGCTTTTCTGCTCTCTCCAAGGGCTTTTTGTATGCCAAAGTAGCCAATATTTGTTCCAAAATCTCCTCAAACTCATTTAGTGGGTGATGAGAAAATACTTGGAAGTAAAAACTCTGACCTGGAGTCCAAGCTGAAAATCGTGGCTTGCACCAGGTGGGAATATGAACCAGCAATGAGCTGAGCTAAGGAAAAAGTGACAGTTCAGGCTCTAAAATTGCTCTGAATCTACCCAGATTTACACTTTCAACCCAGGGAGACTTTGCTTTTCCCTGGAATGACTTAATTTGGTGCTGATGGATTTATTTTTTTCTTGGTCCTGCTCTGGATGCTTTGAGGAGGAACAAGTTCCTATTTTGGTCTGAAGCTCCCCGTGGGCTGGCAGTGGCTGCTTTGCCCTCTCATTACTCTGAGTGTCCTGATTCTCCCTGGAAGGACAATTCCTGGAATTCCTGAGGGTGCAGTGTGCATGGATGTTTGCTGTGCTCACTGCACTCAGCTGGGCCAGCTGGAGGCTCCTGGGACCTGCTCCTGTAGCTACCAAATCCCTCATTTCTGATCCCACTGGAATTGGGGACCATCCTGCAGCTGGGAGCACATCTGGATGGGCTAAACCTGAGATCCAGAGCTTTGGCATAGCTGGGTTTGTGTGGTTGTGCTCACAGGGGCCCCAGGATGAGGGAAGAGATGAGAATCTTGACTCCATGTATCAGAAGGCTGATTTATTGTTTTATTATAAATATAATATTCTCTATATAAAATAACTTAAGAAATAATATATATAAATTATATATTTACATAGAAATATATATAAATAAATATAAAAATGTATAAATAATTATATGTAATATTATATATAATATATCTTAATAAATAATATAGATAAATTATATATTTATATAGAAATATATTTATGTATAAATAAATATTTATATATTTATATACCTATATATAAGTATTTATAAAAATTATATATCTATATATAAATATATAATTTTTATATGTTATTTATTAATATATTATATATGGAGTATTATACTTATTAAATATATATATGATACATATATATATATATATATATATATATATATATATATAAAGGGAAAATGATATCTTAAAACTACACTAAAAGAATAGAAGAAAGGATTTCATTAGAAGGAAAGGAATGGAATGAAATTATAATAAAATCTTGTGGCTGACCAGAGAGCCCAAGCCAGCTGAGCTGTGATTGACCATTAATTAGAAACAACCACATGAGACCAATCAAAGATGCACCTTTTGCATTCCACAGCAGCAAATAATTATTGTATACATTTAATTTCTGAGGCTTCTCAGGAGAAAAAGATCTCAGCAAAAAAGATTTTCCATAAGATACCATAGGGCCAGGTTTGGCTCTGTGGCTTTGTTCTGCTCACAGAATTCTTTAGAGGACAGAGAGCGAATTTCTGCCTTTCATCCCATCCCATTCCACTTTTTTTTTCTTCCAAAGGTCTGGATAAGATAGAATTCCTGCAGAGCCACGAGAACCAGGAGATCTACCAGAAAGCCTTTGATTTGATCGAGCACTACTTTGGGGTGGAGGAGGACGCAGCGGTGGCGCCGCAGGTGGACGAGAACCAGCAGCAATACATCTTCCAGCAAGCTGAGGCTCCCATGGAAGGCTTCCAGCTATAATCCTGGGGGAAAAAACTCAACAAAACCCCCCAGAAAACCCACCACAAACTCTCTGGAAAGTTTGGGAGAGCAGCTGCTGGTCCTGGCTGGGAAGGTTTGGACACCCACTGCACCTGTTTAGGAAAACTCTGCAAATACCGAGAGCTCCTGGAGAGAAGGGGAATTTCTGCTCCTGGTTCCTTTGGGTGCTGCTCACCTTGGCTTTGGAGGCAGGAAGGACACTGAGGTGACAGGTGACACCTCTTGGTGGCTTCTTCTTTGTGGTGGTGTCTCCCCAGGGCAGTTTTTACCTCGTTGGGTGAGGACACAGAGAGGAGGGAGCTGTTCTGGCCACAGTAATTCTGCAAAACCTGGCTTGATCTATTTAAATTTTCTTTTTTTTTCTTTTTTTTTTCTTTTTTTTTTTTCTTTTTTTTTTTTTTTGCACATGTTACTCTTTATTAAAGACTCTTTAATATGCCAAGAGCAAAAATTTAGCCCTGGCCTTCCTCCTTCAGGTGGACAGTCCTGGTGAAGCTAGGACCAGTTCCCTGATGAAAAATACTGAAAATGGACAGAAAAAATGAGAAGTTCTCTCACTGCTGGGAAGTTAATTTTTTTCTGCTGCTTCCCTTTGTCTAGATTTTTGTTTTGTTTTTTGGTTTTGTTTTGGTTTTTTTTGGTTTTTTTTTTTTTGAAGAACTGCTAGTGGTATTTCCAAGGATTAAAAACAAAACAAAACAAAAAAAAAAAAAGCAAAAGCAAAAAGCAACAAGAGCCCAAAGATGGGAACTGGGGTGGATTTTTTGGAGCAGGAAGCACAGCTGCTGTTGCACAGGTTTGGTTTGCATTGTACTGACTGATCTGAGAGCTCTGAAATGCTGAAACCCACCTTCATCTTTACTTGAAATACTTTATTTGCCATGAGAAACATGGGCTGAATTCTGGGTTTTTCCTGCCTTGGGGTGGTTTGGGGTGGAGGAAGATTTGGCTCCACCTGCCAGCAGTGATGGGAGCTCCAGCAGCACCAGGTTTTCAGGTTTACCTCCTGCTCACAGTCAGATAAATGCACATTTTACTTCCAAAACCAACAAATCTCTGTATTTTTTATATTATAGATAGGGAGATATTTGTCTAATTGGGCCACAGAGAAAAGTCTATATGAAATTTCTGTGATTGCTGTACATGAGCACTGTGAGGCAGGCACACCTGCAAACCCCCGGGCTCGGCGCTGCCCCGCCGCTCCTCCCGCGCTGCTCACGGAGCTCCCCGAGCCCCCGCGGCGCTTTTTGGGCCACTTTGCCACGATTTCGGTCAAAGCAGAGGAGCAAACCCCGGTTCTGGGGTGTCCCTTGTTGTGGAACGAATAAACTGCACCTGTGCAGGTGTCCGGCTGTGCTGTGCTGGGGGTACCGGGGGTGATCGGTGACCTTGGGAGGGGCTCCCGGTGCCCGGTAACGGCGGGGGCGCGCGGGGCGTGCTGGGAGTTGTGGTCTCGGGGGTGGGCACGCACAGGGCATGCTGGGAGTTGTAGGCCACGCTTTTCCCTCCTCCTCCACCCCCTTCCCTTCTTCCCCCTCCTCTTCCTCCTCATCTCCTTTTTCTTCCAGAGAAGCAGGGTGGGAATTGTTGTCCTCAGGGCAGCCATGCGCCAGGCATGCTGGGAATTGTAGGCCACAGTCTCCCTTCTCATCCTCTTCTTTGCCAACCGCGGGGCATGGCGGTAATTGTAGGATACAGTTTCTTTCCCTCTTCCCTTCCTCGTCCTCCTCTTCCTCATCCTCTTTTTCGAGCCCTACAGAGCTGGAGTTCCTGTGCTGGGCCCCGCGCGGAGCATGCCGGGAGCTGTAGTTCCTGTGGCCGCTCTCTCGCGGAGCATGCCGGGAGCTGTAGTCCCCTCAGCGCCTCCCGCCGCGCTTGCCGCGTCTCCCCGGTGCTTCCCGGCAGCCCCCGCGCGGCGGGCGCTGATTGGGCGGCGGCGCGGGCGGGCGCACGCGCGGCCGTTGGAGGCCCCGGGCCGAGCCGCTCCCTCAGCGCCGGTACCGCCGGAACCGCCACAACCGCCGCCACAGCGGCACCGGCCGGGCACCGGCACCCAGCTCCCCGCCGATGCGCCGGGCCCCCGCCGGGCCCTGCGCGCCCGTTGGCTGAGGAGCGAGGCGACACCTGCGTCAGACCGCCGGCGCTGACGTCACGGGGTGCGCGCGTGACGTCACGGCGGTTCGGGGAGGGGGCAGCGCCGGGCCGCTTTAACCGGGGGGGGAGGCGGAGGCTGCACCGGGGGCTGGGCCGCGCCCGGGGCCATAACGGGGCTGGGGGGGGGCCGGCTCCCGCTGGAACGGGGGTAGCGGGGCTGGGCTGGGCGGGCCGGGGCTGCCGGTGCCAAGGGAGCCATGGGCCGGGGGCTCCGGGGGGCTGCGGGGCTGGGTCACCCCCGAACCCCGTTATCCCCCCCGTACCCCGGTTATTATCACCTCCGTATCCCGGTTATCGCCCCTGTATCCCGGTTATTACCGCCCCCATGGCCCGGTTATCGTCCCCGGTTATCGTCCCCCCTACCCCGGTTCTCGCCCCCGTGCCCCGGTTCTGGCCCCGGAGCTGCGCGGGTGCAGCAGCGGAAAAGGAGCGCCCGGGGCGCGGGGCAGGTGCCGGTGAAGGTGAAGGGCGCTGCCTGGACACCCACACGTGGGTCGGGCTCTGCCGCCGCTGTGCCCGCGGGTTCGCCTTCCCGGAACCCCGGTAACTCCCGGTATAACCGGGGACCCTTCCTTCCCTCGGGACCAGCAGGAGCAGCACCCCCAGATCCTCATTAGGGTGATAATGGGAAGGCTGAGAACATCCAAACCCCTCAGGGGTGAGGATGAGGATGAGCTGGGATTTCAGCCAGGGAATTGAGCAGGAATTGACCTCTGTGCTGTGCCAGCTCTGATTTCTGGGTCAGGTTTGAAATCCCAGACTTGGGAAGGGCTGAGGGGATGTTCCCAGTGGGAAAATCCTGTTATCTGTGGCTTGGGAGGTGCTGCCTTGCTCCAGAGGGAGATTCCACCAGGAATTATCCTGACACAAACTGGCAATCAAGAGATGCTTTCCTCAGCACTGAGCTGCTGCTGAGAACGGGCTCCTTCCTGCCAGCCAGGGCTGATGACTCCAAAAATCCTGCAGATGTCCTCAAAACCTCTCCCTTCTGTCTCTGCAGAGCCTGACAGGGTGCAAAGGCTGTGATGAAGAACCAGGGAGTGGAGACCAAGGCAGCTCCACGTCCTTCCAGAACGAGCAGCGGGATGGGGCTGGAAGAGGGAGACTCGCCAGAGGCTGCAGCTCCCCCAGAAGGTGGGGAGAAAATCGTGGTTTTCCAGGCCAGAAAATATTGGGTTTCCAGGCAGAGAATCCTGGTTTTCCAGGGCAGAAAATCCCGGTTTTCCTGGGCAGAAATTTGTGGGTTTCCAGGCCAGAAAACTGTGATTTTTCTAGGCCAGAAAATCCAGGTTTTCTTGGGCAGAAAAATCCAGGTTTCCCTGGGCAGAGAATCCTGGTTTCCCTGGGTAGAAAATCCTGGGCTTCCAAGGCAGAACATCCTGGTTTTCCAGGCCAGAACATCCTGGTTTTCCTGGGCAGAGAATCCTGGTTTCCCTGGCCAGAAAATCCTGGGTTTACTGGTGAGAAAATCCAGGTTTTCCAGGCCAGAAAATCCTGGATTTCCTGGTGAGAAAATCCTGGTTTTCCAGAGCAGAAAATCCTGGTTTTCCTGGACAGAAAATCCTGGTTTTCCAGGCCAGAAAACTGTAGTTTTTTTCCCTATTTTATTGTGTGTGCATCCTGGAGGAGTTGCCCTCTCCTGCCTGCTGCCAGGATTTTGTGCCTGCTCCATCCCGGTTTGATCCCAGCTGCTCTTACCCAGGTTTCAGATCCATTCTCATGCTAAAAATCCCAGCCCTGGAGCTTCCAATTCCTCTGGAAGGGGGGAAACTCACACACAACCTGCTTTCCTTTAAAAAAAAGAGGGGAGAGGGGGGAATTCTTCCTCTTGACAGATGTCAGGGGCTTGGTCATGCTCTGCTGATCAAAGGAGAGGCTGTTGGAAATGGAACAAAGCAATTTATCCTGCTGCAAATCCAGCCAGGAAAAACCCCCTGTTTCCTGCAGGGTGAGAGGAGGGGGAAAACATCACAATTTATAGGAATGTGCCCCCTTGATGGAGTGACAAAAGTGTCTTTTGTCCCCTTAAAAAGGAAATAAGGTCAGAAGTTTCTCTCTTTAATTAGGTAAAAAGAAATCTCATAGGACTTGGGGGACTTCACCACAAACTTAAGGATGGGCAATTGGACAGGAGCAAAAATATTGCCTGAGCAATTTAGTAGAAAAAGAAGAGAACAAAGAAACTAATTGCTTTTGTGAGGTGTTTTACCAGGAGCAAGAACCTCTTGCACCATGTGGGTTTTTCTCTGTAAAGTTTTGTTATTTTGCCTGTTATTAAGTCTGGTTTTTCCCCTATTTCTGTTTTCCTGGAGGAGTTCCCCTCTCCTGCCTGCTGCCAGGATGTTCTGCCTACTCCATCCCCAGCTGCTCTTACCCAGCTTTCAAATCCATTCTCATGCTAAAAAGCTCCAAGCTCACACACAAAAAAAAATAAAGAAGGGAGAGGAGGAATTCTCCCTTTTGACAGATGTCAGGGGCTTGGTTTCCAACACTCCCACAGAACCCATCCTGCTGATTTTATACCTTCTAAGGTAGCTGAGCTATCTTGGGTGTGATATAAACTTCCAGGAGCTTATGAGAGCTGGCTGGAGGAGAACAAACCAATGAATGAATCCATTTTTCTGTTCCTTTTGCCCTCCCAGCTCCCCAGGAGGATCCCAAATCCTCTCGCGACGTCTCGGAGGAGCTGAGCCGGCAGCTGGAGGACATCCTGAGCACCTACTGTGTGGATGCCAGCCAGGAGAACCCAGGGGAGGATGGGGGGCACGGGGACACCCCCGAGGAGCCCGACAAGGGCCGCAGTGACTCCCCCAGGAACGGGGAGCAGGAGCCAGGGGGCCCCGAGATCAACGGCGAGAAGGAGAACTCCAAGGGCAGCGAGGAGTTCCGGCCTGGAGAGGAGGCTGGGGACAGGGACCAGAAGAAAGCTCAGGAGAAAAAGAAAGCCAAGGGTTTAGGTGAGAGATTTTCAACTCCTCAGGGGTTTAGGGGAAGGATTCTCTGCTCCCCAAGGGTTTAGGTGAGGGATTTCCAACTCCTCAGGGGTTTAGATGAAGGATTCTCTGCTCCCCAAGGGTTATGGGGAAGGATTCCCTGCTCCCCAAGGGTTTAGATAAGGGATTCTCTGCTCCCCAAGGGTTTAAGTGAAGGATTCTCTGCTCCCCAAGGGTTATGGGGAAAGATTTCCTGCTCCCCAAGGGTTATGGGGAAAGATTCCCAGCTCCCCAGGGGTTATGGGGAAGGATTCCCAGCTCCCCAAGGGTTTAGGGGAAGGATTCCCTGCTCCAGCTGTTCCTGAGGATATCAGTGCATGGATAAATGGATTTTGTCCATTTAAAGTGGATAAAATTGGGGATAAGTGCGTTTTATCCGCTGGGGGAAGTCAGAGCCTTGGATGTGTTTGGGAGCATTCTCCTGTTCTGTTCTGCACCCAGTGCAGCCTCTGAATTCCATGGGTTTGTCTTCTGCTGGGCACAGCTGGCAGCCAGCCCAGGGATGGTTTTCCCCTCCAAAATCAACAAAATCCAGCTGCTCCAGCTGTTCTCCCACCATGGGGAGATCCTGGGAATGCACTGGGAACCTTCTCAGCCCCTCCTTTTTCCACCTTTGCAAGCCAGATCTCTGTGTAAAGCCATTTTTATGCCATTTATTACATCATTCCCCTTCCAGGCAAGGAAATCACTTTGCTGATGCAGACCCTGAACACCCTGAGCACGTCAGAGGAGAAACTGGCAGCTCTGTGCAAGAAATACGCTGAGCTGGTGAGTGCTGGGGCTGGGGGAGGCAGGAGAGCCCTTTGAGAGGGACATTCCAGGGTCACACTGGAGCTTTGTGGTGTCCTGGCATCCCTGCAGGGCTGCATCCCTGCCCAGGAGAGGGTGGGTGTTGCTGGGTGAAGCCTGGTGGTGTTTGTGGAAGGGATTTTGGCAAATCTGGGTGCAAGAGGAGCTCAGTGTCAGCCACACAAAGCCTGATCCCACGTTTAACCAGAGCCAAGGTGGAGTTCCAAGCATGGATGTGGAGCTGGAGGAGGTTTGGGGCTGCCTGTGCATGTCCAAAGTGCCCCATGGGTGGCTTTTCCCTGTGCTGGGCGAGCGTGGAGCTCCTTCCAATTCCAGCAGGGTGGGAATTGAGGAAGGAGAAAAGGAAAAGCCCTTGGGCTCTGTGTCACTGCTGCTCTGCCCTGAGGTGTCACAAACCTGCTGGCCTTGGGGCACACAGCCAGATGGTGTCCCCTCAGGGGGAGGATGGTGTCCCCTCAAGTGTCCCCTCAGGGGGAGGATGGTGTCCCCTCAAAAAGGAAGATGGTGTCCACTCAAGTGTCCCCTCAGGGGGGAAGATGGTGTCCCCTCAGGCGTCCCCTCAGGAAGGAAGATGGCGTCCCCTTAGCAGGGCAGGTGGTGTCCCCTCAGGTATCCCCTCAAGGGGATGGATGGTGTCCCCTCAGGAAGGAAGATGGCGTCCCCTCAGGTGTCCCCTTAGAAAGGAAGATGGAGACCCTGAACACCCTGAGTATTTACCCTTAGGAGGGTAAATGGTGTCCCCTTAGGGGAGCTGATGGTGTCCCCTCAGGAAGGAAGATGGCGTCCCCTTAGGAGGGTAAATGGCGTCCCCTCAGGTGTCCCCTCAGGGGATTTGATGGTGTCCCCTCAGAAAGGAAGATGGTGTCCCCTTAGGAGGGTAAATGGCATCCCCTCAGGTGTCCCCTTAGAAAGGAAGATGGTGTCCCCTCAGGAGGGTAAATGGTGTCCCCTCAGGGGGATGGATGGTGTCCCCTCAGGGGGGGAGATGGCGTCCCCTCAGGTGTCCCCTCAGCAGGGCACATGGTGTCCCCTCAGGGGATTTGATGGTGTCCCCTCAGAAAGGAAGATGGTGTCCCCTCAGGTGTCCCCTCAGGAAGGAAGATGGCGTCCCCTCAGGTGTCCCCTCAGCAGGGCACATGGTGTCCCCTTAGGGGAGCTGATGGTGTCCCCTCAGAAAGGAAGATGGCGTCCCCTCAGGTGTCCCCTCAGGAAGGAAGATGGCGTCCCCTCAGGTGTCCCCTCAGCAGGGTACCTGGTGTCCCCTCATGGGGACACCTCTGCCCTGCTACCCCCCAGCCTGTGCTCTGCCCTGTCGCAGCTGGAGGAGCACAGGACCTCGCAGAAGCAGATGAGGATGCTGCAGAAGAAGCAGAGCCAGCTGGTGCAGGAGAAGGATCACCTGCAGAGCGAGCACAGCAAGGCCATCCTGGCACGCAGCAAGCTGGAGAGCCTGTGCCGGGAGCTGCAGAGGCACAACCGCACCCTCAAGGTGCTCCCAGGGCTGCCCCCGCTCTGGGGCAGGGCAGGGTTTGGGGTTTGGGGTGGTTTTGGGGTGGATCACCTGCAGATTGAGGCCATCCTGGCACTCAGCAAGCTGGAGAGCCTGTGCTGGGAGCTGCAGAGACACAACCGCACCCTCAGGGTGCTCCCTGATCCTGCCCTACCCCTGGAACCCTCCCCAGGGGCCATCTGGGCACCCTCACCCCTCTGGGGCAGGGTTTGGGGTTTGGAGTTTGGGGTTTGGGGTTGGCCATCATTGCCTGCAGTGTCTGAGGTGTTGTCTCAGGGTTTGTGCCCTGCAGGGAGGGAAGGGGGAAAGCCCAGAGTCCTTTCCTGAGGGGTGGAAGGAGTTGTGGGAGGATGAGTGGGGTGGGAACATCATCTTGGGATTCCTTATATCCATTCCTGATGATATAAGGAATAAATGGGAGGCTGAGTGGATTAGGAACATCATTTGGGAAGTTTTCTTGAGGGATATAAGGACATAATTTTGGGAAGTTTTCCCGATGGAAATAAGGAGTAATGGGAGGCTGAATGGGTTGTGAACCCAATTTTAGGAAGGTTTTGTGGTGGACATAAGGACATCATTTTGGGATGGATATAAGGAATAACAGGAGGCCACATGGGTCGGAAACATAACTTTGGGGAGTCCCTCCCTTACCTGCCCCATCCCTGCTGCAGGAGGAGGGCGTCCAGCGTGCCAGGGAGGAGGAGGAGAAGAGGAAGGAGGTGACCTCTCACTTCCAGGTGACCCTGAACGACATCCAGCTGCAGATGGAGCAGCACAACGAGCGCAACTCGAAGCTGCGCCAGGAGAACATGGAGCTGGCCGAGAGGCTCAAGAAGCTCATCGAGCAGTACGAGCTCAGGGAGGAGGTGGGTCAGCTTCTCCACAGCCTCTGCTGGCCACAGGCACGCTGAGATACAGAAAACTTCTTTTTCTTAGCCTGGCAGTTGACAGAGTCAGGGTTCTTTTGTGTTTATTGTTTATTATTTCTTATTTATAGCATTATTTCTGTGACTCGCCCTAGGTGTGTCTGGCAGGGTTGAGGCACACTGGTGTTATCTTTTTATACTAAAAACTACATGTAAAATATTTATTATAACTTCCTAATACCTATTACCTATGTTAGACAGTGAGCTTCTACTCTAAACTAATCTAAAAGTGCCACCATCACAGTGGGAGATGGAGACTAAGAAGAAGAAGGAGAAAGACTGGACACATTTAGATTCTTCTATCTTGCTTCTTGAACTCTCATTCTAAAAACCCCAAAAATCTATTTTTCACCCTGTGATAAATTCACTGTCATTCTGCCTAAACTCTCTTGACTTGTAATTCTTCATGCAAAGGTGGGAATTGTTTTTCCTAAGGGCTAAAATCAAAGGCACAGATGGTTTTGACTCTGAGCCCCCCTGGCAGGGGCTGGAGGCCTTTAGGGCAGGCAGAGGAATTTTGTGGTCAGGACTGGGAGCCTTTCCTGGTGCTCTGGGTGTGCCCTGAGCTGTGCTGTTCCCCCTGCAGCACATTGACAAGGTGTTCAAGCACAAGGAGCTGCAGCAGCAGCTGGTGGATGCCAAACTGCAGCAGGCCCAGGAGATGCTGAAGGAGGCAGAGGAGAGGCACCAGCGGGAGAAGGATTTTGTAAGTGTTGGAGCAGTTGATTGAGGCACTTTTGGGGTCTTAGTGTGGATCCCTGGGTGTTATCCCAGATCTTGGCATGTCCAGGAGCCAGGCTGGAGCCCTGCTGTGCTCCTCTGCCTCTCCTGAGCAGGGCTGGGCCAGGAGCATTCCCAGAGAATTCCTTTGCTCTCCTTCCCCAGCTGCTGAAGGAAGCTGTGGAATCACAGAGGATGTGTGAGCTGATGAAGCAGCAGGAGACCCACCTCAAGCAGCAGGTGAGTTCCCTGCTCAGCTTGTTTTGTTTGGGGATTTCCCTCCTTCCCTCCCTGAACAACCCAAAGTTCTTTAATCTGGAAAACAGAGGGGCAGGATCCCTGCTGGCTTTGGTTTTATGAGCTGAGACTTTGTTCAGGGGTTGTTTCCCAGTGCTGGCAGCAGTCATGGGATCAGCCAGGAGGAGTTTGTGGAACTCTGTGCTCTCAGGATGTTTCCCTGGGACAGAATTTGCCTTTGGCAGAGCAGCTCCTGCTGTTTGTCCTTGTCCCAGGGCAGCAGCTCAGCCCTGGCTGGGCTCTCCCCTCTGCAGGCCCTGGTGCCATGAGCTCCCTGTGTCTCCCCACAGCTGGCTCTGTACACTGAGAAGTTTGAGGAGTTCCAGAACACCCTTTCCAAAAGCAGTGAAGTGTTCACAACCTTCAAACAGGAGATGGAGAAGGTGGGTGATGCTTTTTCCCCCAGCTCCAAATTTCAGTTAATTTTAGGTCTACACCCAAAATCTGGGGTGACACATGAGGACCTGTGGGATGTCACTGCACTGCTCTCCCTGGGGTTTGTTTCTTTTGGTCCCTGTGGGGATCAGGACATTTTGTGACTCGATTTGTGCCCTTTCTGTGCTTCTGTAGATGACCAAGAAAATCAAGAAGCTGGAGAAGGAGACCACCATGTACCGCTCCCGCTGGGAGAGCAGCAACAAGGCCCTGCTGGAGATGGCAGAGGAGGTGAGGGAGGCTCTGGAGCAGCTGGGGAGGGTGGGATGGGGACAGGACAGGCTCTGCCTCGGTGCTCTGTGGGGGCAGAGGGAGGAGGAAGCTGCTTGGTGCTTTGGGTGCTGAGGGTTTGCTTGGTTTCCCCAGAATCAGTCATGGAATGGTTTGGGTTGAAAGTTCATCCCATTCCACCCCTGCCATGGGCAGGGACACCTTCAATTATCCCAGGTTTCTCCAAGCCTGGCCTTGGACACTTCAGGGATCCACAGCCTCTCTGGGCACCCTGTGCCAGGGCCTGCCCACTCTCACAGGCAGGAATTCCATCCCAATATCCACCTAACCCTGCCCTCCCTGCATTTCAAACCTGTCCCTATCCCCTCCTATCCCTCTGGGGTTCCACATCTCCCTCTGTGGGACCAGGAGCTGGAGCACCCTGTGCCAGGGCCTGCCCACCTTCACAGGCAGGAATTCCATCCCAATATCCACCTAACCCTGCCCTCCCTGCATTTCACACCTGTCCCTATCCCCTCCTATCCCTCTGGGGTTTCAGCTCTCCCTCTGTGCCTCTCTCCCTGCAGAAAACCCTGCGGGACAAGGAGCTGGAGCACCCTGTGCCAGCCAAATCCCACCTAACCCTGCCCTCCCTGCATTTCAAACCTGTCCCTGTTCTCTCCTGTCCCTTTTGAGGTTTCAGCTCTCCCTCTGTGCCTCTCTCCTGCAGAAAACCCTGCGGGACAAGGAGCTGGAGGGGCTGCAGGTGAAGATCCAGCGCCTGGAGAAGCTGTGCCGGGCGCTGCAGACGGAGCGCAACGACCTCAACAAGAAGGTGCAGGACCTGTGTGCCCACACTGAGCTGCTGGAGCCCCTGAAGGAGCCACCACGGGACAGCTCTGAGGCAGCTCCAGACTCCCCGAGGCCAGGAAAGGCCCCACAGAGCCCGGATCCCACAGGAGCCCTGGCAGAACTGAGCACGGGGGCAGCGGGGCAGAGCGGGACTGAGCAGGGCACTGACTGAGCCCCAGCTGGGCGAGGGAGGGTGACCTGGGAGCTGCTTTAGATTCCACTCTCCCTGTCCTGGGACAGCTGGGAAAGGACAGGACACAGCCCTCCTGGGGATGGGAGATTTCCTAGTTTAGTTTTTTGGAGGGGTTTTTTTTTAAGATTTTATATATATATATACATATATATATATAAGATATATAAAAATGTGCAGGGCAACACTTTATATCTATGGATATCCATAAGAAACAGAAGGGCCCAGCTCCCTGCCTGTGTGAATACTGAAAATATGGAGCCTCAGCTGATTGTCCCTCTCACTAAAGGACCTGGTCACTGGCAGGGACAAGCACAGGGACAAAGGACACGCCTCCACCATCACAAGGACTCCACCCTGAAGTGACAGCAGAGCTGGGAGAATTCCAGAATATTCCCAGCACTGGATTCTCCCTCTTCCCCCTGCCAGGCAGGAGGGAGCTCCTGGTCTGGCTCTGCTGGCAGCTCGTGTGTGAGCTGAGGGCACAAGAGGCCGTTCCCTGCTCTCCGTGGGCCCTGTGTCTGCAATGGGGACCAGGAGAAGCAGCAAAAGGGGGTGCCTGGTCCCACCCTTGGGAATTTTTTGCTCTTGCCAGGCCCTGCCAATCTCAAAACCGCCTTATAATTCACAGTTGCCTCTTTGCTGAACGCACACGTGCACAAAGTGTATTAAACAGTTATCCCAAAGGTCTCATTCCCAAGTGTTTGCATCGTTGTGCACAGGGACTGGGGAGGTGCCCCCCAGCCCTGGAGGCATCCACGGAGCTGGGGCTGCAGGAGGATCAAACCTCAGAGCTGTGTGAGCTCCTGGAGCTGCTGCTCCAGCCGGGATCAGCTCCTGGATTGCACCTGGGGCTGCTCCTGGGGGTGCCTGTGCCACCCCAGCCCCACCTCTGCTTTCCCTCCCTGCTTGGAACAGCATCTCCCCAGTGCTGCCTCACCCCAGGGGCCTGCGTGTGCTGGGAGGGAGTTTAGGGACAGCTGTGGCACCTGCTGGCACCAGGGTTTGGGATTTTCCTTGGTTTGTCAGGACTTTGTCTTTCCCTGATCTTCTGGAAGACTCGGCTCGCTTGGAACCTCGCTGCAGCTTCTGTTTGTGACAGACTTCACTGCCAGCATTGCCTTCCTCGTGCTGGGAGCTGATCCCCACCCTGGCTGTATCCCGTGGATCCCTCTGGGACTCTCCTCTGGCACCACAGCTGCTCTCACATCTCCCCTCCATGAAGGACCTGCCTCCACATCTCCTTTTCCTCCCGGGAATCCAGATCTGAGGAGGCCAGCATGGACGGGCTCTGAGGCTCCACAGAGCCCTGCTGGACATGCACTGGGACAGTCCCTGGAGCTGTGGTGGCTTTGTCTTCCAGCCCCTGCTGGTTCCTCTGGGGTGATCCATGAATGTAACCCAGCCAGGCTGAGCAGGGCTGCTGCTGACATCCGGACTGCAGAAAAAGCAAAACCCCTTAAAATTCACCAAACCCCCCAAACCCCCTTTTTCTCTGTCTTTTCCCTGTTAAGGTACAGAAACCTCCTCGTGTGTATCCTGTATCCAATAGAAACACTCCCAACCTCGCTGCTGCCTCTGGTGTCTCTCTCTTCTTTACTTTGTACCCCTCACGTTCATGCAGGGCACCTGTGTGCCCTCTGTGCCCTTTGGTCAGCACAGCTGGGCACTCCATGGCTCACCTGCTGTTCACAGCTGGGCTCATTGGGGAGCAGCCCCATTCCCAAACCCCACAAACTGTGTACCCCAAACCCCCCCCAAACCCCACAAACCGTGTTCCTACACACAGCCCCTGTTCCAATCCCCACAAACTGTGTACCCCAAACCCCACAAACTGTGTTCCTACTCACAGACCCCAATCCCCACAAGCTCTGTTCCTACACACAGCCCCACTCCCAAACCCCACAAACTCCTCCTGCCGTGTCCCAGCGCTCTGCTCCTCCTTTCCCCGGCAATGAGCTGCGGGAGGCTGGCAGGGATTGCACAGCTTTGCTGCGGTGGGGATGGGATGTCCCTGCTCAGGTGTCCCCAGTGGGACCTGGCATGTCCCTTCCCGGGACGCTGCAGCCACCAAGAGCCACCAGCCCTGAGGGTCCCGGCCCTGGGGGTACCAACCCCCCCCTCCCGGCTGGTCCCTTGTGCCCCCATCGGCTCCAGAATGTCCAAGATGGGTTAAAAATCCTGCCGGGATTTACAGGAGCAGCCGCGCTCGGGCTGGAGCGGGGCGGGGGGGGACGGACGGGATTTGTTAATCCCGGCTCTGCGCCAGGGCTGGAGGCCCTTCCCGGCTGCTCCAGCAGGGACGGATCCCGCGGCGCTGCGGGGACACCGGAGGGGACTCGGGGTAAAGCCCGCGGGGACACCGGAGGGGACTCGGGGTAAAGCCGCGGCCGGGGGGCGGCGGGAGCGACCCGGGGGCTCCGCGGGCTCGGGGAGCGGATCCTGCCCCGTTCCCGATCTGCGGGATGCTGATCCCGGGGCTGATCCCGGGGCCGATCCCGGGGCCGATCCCGGGGCCGATCCCGGGTCACGTCCGCGGATCCGCGGATCCTGCGGAGGGAAAGGGAACTCCCGGAGGAAGTTCCCTTTCCCTTTAAATGCAAATCCCGGCTGTGCGGACGGTGTCCATCGGGCGGGGGGCGTCCGGTGGGTCGGGGTGTCCATCGGGATCGGGGTGTCCGGTGGGTCGGGGTGTCCATCGGGATCGGGGTGTCCGGTGGGGTCGGGGTGTCCATCGGGTCCCGGAGGCCGGAGCGGGCCTGGCTCAGGTCAGTCCCGGCCGTGGCGCTCCGGACGGCGGCCCGAGATTGCGGACAAAGGGGACAAAGGGGACAAAGAGGCTCCGCACCGGAGCTGCCCCGTCCCGGCGCCGCGCGGGGCTCGGAGGGGCCCGGCGGGACAAAGGGGTGACGGTCCCCATGCGGTCCCCTGTGCTCCGCTCTCGCCGGGGTGTTTTGGGGCCGAAATCCACTTTTCCATCTCGCCGGGGCCCTGCCAGAGCTGCGGCTGCGGTTCAGGCCCCGGCCGAGCTCCTGCGGGGATGCTCCGGGCGCGGGGAGGGAGCGGAGCCCCCCGGGAACGGGCACCGAGCTCCTGCTCCGGTCCTGCCGCCGCCAGCGAGCCCCGGGGCGGCTCGGGGTGCCCGTGGGTGTCACTGCTTAACCCGGGGGTCCCGGTGCCCCTGGCTGTGTCCCCTTGTCCGGGGGCTCCCCCAGCCCCTCCGCTGTCCCTGGGGGTCCCCCGGCCCCTCCGCCGTGCCCCGGGCAGCCGCATCCTCTCCCCGTTATCTCCGTGCAGGGAAGGAGCCTCCACACGCCGTGTCCACCGCACGCCGGGTCCCGGTCCCGGTCCCGGTGCCGGTCCTGGTCCCGGTGCCATCGCCCCCATGGAGGAGCGCAGGAAGAAGCGGAGCCCCCAGAGCTGCCTGGCCCAGCCGCCGCCCGCCGGGGCCCCGCGGCCGCTGCCCCCGAGCAAGAGCGCGTCCTTCGCGCTGCCGCTGCCCGCGCTGCCCTCGCCCCGGCAGCGGCCGCGGCCCCGCCGGTCAGTGCGGCCCGGGGGCACCGGGGTTAGGGAGGTGTCGGTGTCGGTGCCGGTGCTGATGCTGATGCCGGTACCGGGGCCGGTGCTGATGCCGCGTTCCCCGGCAGGGCCAGCAAGGAGCGGGCGCGGGCGGGCGCGGGGGGCTCCCGGGGGGCCCCGCTCCAGCACAGCTTCCTCACGGATGTGTCCGACGTGTGCGAGATGGAGCGGGGGCTGCTCAGCCTCCTCAGCGACTTCCATTCGGGAAAACTGCAGGCGTTCGGTGAGGGACGGGGTGGGGTCCGTGGGGTGGGATCCACGGAATGGGATCCATTGGATCCATGGGATGGGATGGGATGGGATGGGATGGGATGGGATCCATGGAATGGGATCCATGGTCTGGGATGTGGTGGGATGGGATAAGATGGGATTTGATCCATGGGATGGGATCTATGAGGTGGGATGGGCACGGGGAAGGAGGAGACTGGGGAATTTTGGGGCTGGGGAATTTTGGATCCACGGGGAAGGAGTGGGATGGGGAAAATGTTGGATTGAAGGGAAGGAATGGGCTGGATGGACGGATGATGGATGGATGGATGGATGGATGGATGGATGGATGGATGGATGGATGGATGGATGGATGGATCCACAGAGCAGGGACAGGCTGGGGACTGGGATTGATCCACAGGGAAGGTGCTCTGGGGCTGTGCTGAAGCCTCCCCAGGGATGTTCTGGAAGGTTCTGGGTGCCCCCAGGGAAGGAGTGCTCCTTCGAGCAGCTGGAGCACGTGCGGGAGATGCAGGAGAAGCTGGCACGGCTGCACTTCGGGCTGGACGTGTGCGTGGAGGAGCTCCCCGAGGAGCAGAAGAAGGCGGCGGCTGACAGGAACCTGGACCAGCTGCTGGCACACGTGAGTGGCACCCTGTGACCTCTGTGACACCCCTGTCCCCTGCCAGGCCTGGCACACCCCGGCGTCCCCTCCGCTCCCTCAGCTCTGCCTTTGCTCCCACAGCTGGAAGAGCTCAGCAGTTCCATGTATCCTTGGCTGGTGACAGTGGCAGTGGCAGGGGTGGTGCTGGCAGTGGTGACAATGGCAGGGGTGGCAGTGATGGTGGTGATGGGTGGCAATGGTGACAGTGATGGCAGTGATGATGGTGGCAGTGACAGTGGTGGCAGTGACAGTGGTGGCAGTGACGGTGCTGGCGCTTCCCCTTGACCCGCTCTCAGACAGAAGCTGCACCTGGCCGAGAGCTCGGACCCCGAGGACGCGGGGCCCTGACCCCGGCCCCGTCTCCGCCACCCCCGGGAGCCCCGCGCGGGCCGGGCCGGGCCCCTGTCCCCGCCATGGCGGCGGCGGTCGCGGTTCGATGACGTCAGCAGGCGGCGCCGGGGCCATGGCGGCCGCGCCGGGCCCGCGGGCCGGGGCTGAGGCTGAGGCTGAGGCTGAGGGGCGGCGGCGGCTCCTGCGCTCCGTGACCCGGCTGCAGGTGCGGGACGGGCCCGGGGGAACGGCGGGGAGCGGGGAAAGGAAGGGGAAAGGTGGATGGGGCCTCTGGGGGGCACTTCGGGATGAGACCCCTGGGGTGGCACATCTGGAGCGGGCAGTGAGGGCACCCCCGAGCGGGCGGGCAGCTCTATGAGGGCACCTCCGTGAGGGCAGCCCCGTGAGAGGGCACCCCGGGCGGGCGATGCTGCAGCCGGCGCTGCCGCCCGGGCTCGGCCGCGCTCGGTGCCGGTGCCCGGTTGGGTTCGGTTCGGTTCCAGCGCTGTCCCCTCCGGGCCGTGCCAGGCCTGTGCCAGGGGGTTCCTGCTGCGGAGGCGGCTGCGGAGCGTGCGGGAGGAGTTCGAGGCCGTGGTGCTGGAGATCGAGGGCGACCTGAGGCAGCTGCGCTGGAGCGGCCGCGTTCTGCAGCGGCCGCGCTTCGGCCCCGAGGTCCGTGAGCCCCGGGGCACCGGGAGCGGCACCGGCAGCACCGGGAGCATCCCCGGGGCGGGGGTTGTGCCCGTTGGCAGCGCTGACCCTGTGCCCCTGCCCGCAGGACGCTCCCGGCCCTGTCCCCGCAGGATTTGGCGCTCCAGGTGCAGCCCGGCCTGCCCAGGTGATTGATTCCCCTCCCTGTCCCACCTGTCCTGAGCCCAGGAAAGTTTGGGATGGCTCAAACCAGAGCAGCAGAGCCACGTTCCAGACCTTTCTATTTTTCCCTCTCCCATTGTATTGGGATTTTTTTTTCCTCTTTTCCTTTTTTTTTTTCCTGTTTTCCAGCCCTCTCCAGGGAAACCCTCGGAGCCAGGGGAGGCTGCAGAGAACAAAAAAAGAAAAAACCAGGAAAAGCCAAATCCTGGTGGAGCAGAGCGGGGTGGGAGCTGTGGGAACATCCCCCCTCCAAACCCCAAAAACGCCAAACCCCACCCAAAGCCCCCAGATTTGGGGTGTGGTGCTGCAGAGACCAAAACCATTCCCAGAAAAACCCGGGAGAAGCTGAATCCTGGTGGAGCAGAGCGGGGTGGGAACATCCCCCCCTCAGCCCCCCTGCCCCGGGGCACAACCCCAGACCCCAAAAACCCCAAAACCACCCCAAAGCCCCCAGATTTGGGGTGTGGTGCTGCTGAAAGCCCCGAGGAGGAAGAGGAGGGAGCCCTGGAGTGGGACAGTGACAGCAGCGAGCTGGGAGCCAGCCCAGGTGAGGGACACAGAAACTCAGGAATGTTTTGGGAATGCTGGGCTGAGCTTTGGGGTTCTCACCTGGGAGCCAGCCCAGGTGAGGGGCACCAAATATTGTGGGAATATTTTGGGAATGCTGGAGCAGCTCCCACAGGGCTGAGCTTTGGGGTTTTCCTGGTTTTTGGGCAGAAATCCCAGAGGATTTGGGGTGTGGTGCTGCTCAAAACCCCTCAGATTTGGGGTGCGGTGCTGCTCAGAGCCTTGAGGAAGAGGAGGGAGCCCTGGGGTGGGCCAGGGCCAGCAGTGAGCTGGGAGCCACTGGTGAGGGACACCAGGGACACAAAAACCCAGGTGAGGGACACAGAAACTCAGGGATGTTTGGGAATGCTGGAGCAGCCCCCACAGGGCTGAGTTTTGGGTTTTTCCAATTTTTTGGTCAGGAATCCCAGAGGAGCTGCAGGGGCTGCCCCCACAGGGCTGAGTTTTGGTTTTTTTCCTGTTTTCTTGCAGGAATCCCAGAGGAGCTGCAGGGGCTGCCCCGCTGGGAGCTGCAGGCCCTCAGGACTCAGCTCCTGCTGGAGCTGCTGTGGGTCCAACAGGCCATTGCCAGCAGGAAACACGTGAGGAACAGGGCTGGGGACTGGGGGGTCTGGGGTGGGGAGGGGATGGAAAAGGAAATATGGAGGAATATCAAGGAAATATCAAAGAAAATATATTAAAACCAAAAGAAATATCAAGGAAAATATAAAAAAAATATAAAGGAATATCAAAGAAAATAGAAAGGAAATATCAAAGAAAATATAAAGGAAAATATATAAAAAAATAAAGAAATAGCAAGGAAAATATCAAAGAAAAATATAAAAGAAAATATTTTAAAAATATAAAGGAATATAAAAGAAAATAGAAAGGAAATATCAAAGAAAATATAAAGAAAGCTCAAAATATAAAGGAATATAAAGGAAAATAGAAAATATAAAGGAATACAAAAGAAAATAGAAAGGAAATATCAAAGAAAATGAAAATAGAAAGAAAATATAAAGCAATGTCAAAGACAATAGAAAAGGATATAGAAAAGAAAATATAAAAGAAAATAGAAAGAATATAGAAAATATAAAGAAATATTAAAGACAATAGAAAAGGAAATAGAATATATAAAGAGATATAAAAGAAAATTAAATAAATAGCTAGAAAATACGAAGCAGTGTAGAGGCAGTGCACAGCAGGCTGTGTCTCCCTGCAGTTCCTGCTGCTGAAGCAGAAGCTGGGGGTTCCTGCCCATCCCAGCAGCATTCCCGAGTTCCTGGCCTGCTGTGGAGAAGCCCTGGAGCTGCAGCAGCAGCAGCAGCAGCAGCAGCTCTGATGGCACAGGGACAGCTGGGGATGTCTCACTCCAGAGGAATGGAACAAAATCCTGCTGGGGACGTGGGGTGTGAGCAGGACTGAGCAGCTGGGGATGTCTCACTCCAGAGAATTGGAACAAAATCCTTCAGGGGACGTGGGGTGTGAGCAGGACTGAGCAGCAGCGGCCGTGGGGAGCGTCCTGGAGGGATCCATCCCATCCCAGCCATGCCAGGAGATCCCTGCAGTGGCTGAGCTGGAGGATGCAGGTGGGACACGAGGATTGGCACTCCCAGCAGGTGCTGGGGAGGAGCTGCAGCTGCAGGAAGGAGCTTTTCCCACAGAACTGTGGGGATTCCGTGGGGGAATCCGGGTTTGGGGTGGCTCTGCACTATCCTGGGTGTCCCAGGGGATTTTTGGGAGTGGGGAGGGAGAGCCAGCCCCTGATCCTTGGGATGAGGCTCATTCCTGCCTGGGAATTCTCTCCTGGGCAGAGGCAGGAAAGCACCTGGTGCTTTGGCAATTCCTTCAGCTCAGGGACATCCCAGATCCATCAGAAAGGGACATAGAGGGGACATCCCAGGTCCATCAGAAAGGGACATCCAGGGACATCCCAGATCCATCAGAAAGGGACATCCAGGGACATCCCAGGGGACATCCCAGATCCATCAGAAAGGGACATCCCAGGTCCCTCAGAAGGGGACATCCAGGGACATCCCTGATCCTTCATAAAGGGACATCCAGGGACCATCCCAGGTCCCTCAGGGACTTTCCCCATGGTGCTGTGCTCCCCTGCCCCGACCCCACTGCAGATGTGGATCCTTCTGCTCTGGAATTCTGAAATTCTTTTTATTTTTTGGGAATAAAAAAAAAATCTTTTCCTGATGCTGAAGCTGTTCCTGCCTGGCTCGCTGGTGTGTCCATGGCTGAGGGGAGGTGGCCAGGACAGGACAGGACCTTTGGGACTTCCCAAACTGTGACAGGGAGGTGACAGCACCTGGGCAGGGGTGGGGGGACACGAGCTGCTGATCCAGAAATCCTGGTGGGAACGTGCCAGGATCAGATCCTGGGGGACAAATCCTGCAGGATCAGAGATCCCTGTGCTTCCTGCTGCTCTGGGGGTGTGGGATGTGGCCACAGCTTCTGCTGCTGCCTCTGCATCCATGGGAGCTGGGCTGGGCTCAGCAGGGAGGGTTTGGGGTGGGCAGGAGGATGCACAGGAGGGTTTGGGGTGCTCAGGAGGGTTTGGGGTGCCCAGGAGGGTTTGGGATTGCCAGAAGGGTTTGGTTTGGGCTTGGCAGAAGGGTTTGGGCTCAGTGAGAGGCTGCTTGGAAGGGTTTAGGGTGGCTGGAAGGATTTGGGCTCAGTGAGGGGCTGGTTGAAGGTTTTGGGGTGTTCAGGAGGGTTTGGGATTGCCAGAAGGGTTTGGGATTGCCAGAAGGGTTTGGGATTGCCAGAAGGGTTTGGTTTGGGCTTTGCAGAGGAGTTTGGGCTCAGTGAGGGGCTGCTTGAAGGGTTTAGGGGTGCTCAGAAGGGTTTGGGCTAATCAAAAGAATCCATCAGTGCCAGGAGGTCACACTGGATCATTTATTAACCCTTTCTTACCCCCCTTCAGTGCTGGACAAGACAGTTTGGTCACTGTGGCCTTCAAAGAGCCACCAAAATCCCCTCAAGGCACAAACCTGGCTGCTGTCCCTGCAGTGGGGCTGCCCTGGGGTGCAGCCCATGGGTTTTGTTTGGGATCCATCCCAAAACCCCTTCCCAGGTGGGGCTGGGCCAGGAGCCCCCCAGGCCCGGGCAGGAGCCTGGGTCAGCCTCTGCTGCTGCCTCAGGCCCCAGCCAGGCACAGGGACACCCCCAGCATGGTGAGCAGCATTCCTGCCACAGCTCCTGGGGAGGAACAAATCCAGAATCAGTGAATGGGGAAAAACTGGGAATCTGCCCCAAACAACAACCTCCAGCTCCTGCAGTGTGAAATTCCCCAATTTCCTGCTTTTTCCTGACCACCTGAGCAGGGCACGTTGACTTTTGGGCCACTCCTTTTCCATGGTGGGCATTTTACTCATGGTTAAACATCTCCTGAGGGAAATTTAAATCCTTTTAGCTTTAAACAGCAAATTCTGACTTTAAATTCACCAGTCCTGCCCAAAAATCTGTTTCAATTCCCTTTCCCTTTTCAATGGGAAAAAAAATCCCATTGAAAAGGGAATTTTCCATTCCCATTTCAATTCCCTGCAGCCAAAGCTGCTCTCACCCAGTTCAAGCCTTGTGGGGTATTTGGAGTCTTCAGATTAGATTATAATTTAAATTATACATTAAAATCAAATCACCCACATTAAAAATCAAATTCCCACATTACAAATCAAATAATCTCAATCCAATAAAAGCTGATTTCTTGAGGAAATGCTGGAAGTGGGACTCACTTTTCCCCCCAATGTCCTCTCCCAGGATTTTCCCAGTCACCAAGGTCACAACCAAAGCCAGGGAGTTGCAGAGTGGCACTGCCACGGACAGGTCTGAAATGCAAGATCCAAGGGGAGAAATTTGAATTATTTGGGATTATTCCAAGGCAGCTGTTTGGCTGAATCACTGACCCATAAAATCCCATCAAACCACCCCAAAACAAGCAGCAGGAGCTGACCTGTGGAGGCCAAGGTGAGGTAGAAGAGCAGAGATCCAGCCTGGTTGAGCAGGAAGGGCACCAGGTACTGCAGGAGAACACGGAGCTGCCTGAGGGTCCCACCTGGCACTCACTGCTCCAAACTGGTTCCAGTTTCAATGCTGGGCTCAGTCTTGGAGGTTTTTCCCAACCCCAGTGATGCCAGGATTCCCCAAATCCCAGAGGGAAGCACTGAAGGGCTCTGGTTTTGGTTTCTCTGGTTTGCCTCCCCTGCAGGTGGTGCTGGGAGGAGGGCAGGAGGCCATGGATGTGACCACAACCTCCACCAGGATTGGCAAATTCGAGGCCAGGTTGGTCCTTCTCCCTGGGGCAGGGAAAATCCTCACCCAGAGCACCCCAGGGATTGCTCTTCCCTTTCCTTTGGCAACGTGGCAGTGCTGGAAAAACCCTTGAGCTCTTTTTTTTTAGTTTTTTCTTTTGTTTTTGAGGATTCTGTGGTTTTGTCAGTGCCAGTGCCAGCCCAGGGTCGGGGGGATTGGCCAGGACACCTGGGAGAGGTGGGAATTCTGCAGGAATAACCCCTGAGGATGGGGAATTGTGGATACTGGACTTTCAGCAAGGATACTAAACTTTCAGCAAAGTTTACTTTATCTCTTGATGTCCTGGTTCTTGTTACTGTTATCTTATGATTCAGATAAGACAGTCCACAAATACCTTGAACTAACAGAGCTATTTTACACTATTATGTGAGTTAGTTCCACAAATAAAAGTATTTAACAGCACATAGTTTCTACTTTAATAGCATGAGAAGGTCTAAGCTATATTTATCACATCATTATTTATATAAACTACACGGTGCATACAAAAACTGATTATATAATATTTATATTATATTATAACATTACCTTATATATAATTACTTTATATTAATTATATTATATATTATATTAACATATAGTAATTATATAATATATTATCTATTACATTTATATTATATTATATTATATTATATTATATTATATTATATTATATTATATTATATTATTATACCAAAAAGCAGTTAAAAGGGATTACAAATTGCACTATATCAGGATCTTTGTGATTAGTAATAACTTGCAGAGGCCAACACACCAAGGAGAAAGAACGCCATTAATGATATTTATAATTTCTAACGGGCGGGCTCTCACCTGGCAGTTGAGGCTGAGGAAGCGCAGCTCTGCCAGCAGCTGCCGCAGGCGGCCCCGGCCCTGCAGCTCCTCCATGCCCGCCGCCGCTGCCCTCAGGAACGGCCCGGTACCGCCCCACAGCGCGGCCACCAGCGCCAGGGCCAGCGCCTGCCCTGCGGAACAGCGGGATCAGAGCCACGGAGCCAGCTTGGCCCTTGGAACATTGGGGTCAGAGCCATGGAGCCAGCCCGGCCCTTGGAACATTGGGGTCAGAGCCATGGAGCCAGCCCGGCCCTTGGAACATTGGGGTCAGAGCCATGGAGCCAGCCCGGCCCTTGGAACATTGGGGTCAGAGCCATGGAGCCAGCCTGGCCCTTGGAACATTGGGGTCAGAGCCATGGAGCCAGCTTGGCCCTTGGAACACCGGGGTCAGAGCCATGGAGCCAGCCCGGCCTCTGGAATATTGGGCTCAGAGCCATGGAGCCAGCTTGGCCCTTGGAACACTGGGGTCAGAGCCATGGAGCCAGCCCAGCCTCTGGAACACCGGGCTCAGAGCCATGGAGCCAGCCCGGCCCTGGGAACACCGGGCTCAGAGCCATGGAGCCAGCCCGGCCCTGGGAACATTGGGGTCAGAGCCATGGAGCCAGCCCGGCCTCTGGAACACCGGGCTCAGAGCCATGGAGCCAGCCCGGCCTCTGGAACAGCGGGCTCAGAGCCATGGAGCCAGCCTGGCCTCTGGAACACCGGGGTCAGAGCCATGGAGCCAGCCCGGCCTCTGGAACACCGGGCTCAGAGCCATGGAGCCAGCCCGGCCTCTGGAACATTGGGGTCAGAGCCATGGAGCCAGCCCAGCCCTGGGAACACCGGGCTCAGAGCCATGGAGCCAGCCCGGCCTCTGGAACATTGGGGTCAGAGCCATGGAGCCAGCCCGGCCCTGGGAACAACGGGGGCAGAGCCATGGAGCCAGCCCAGCCCCTGGAACACCGGGCTCAGAGCCATGGAGCCAGCCCGGCCTCTGGAACACCGGGGTCAGAGCCATGGAGCCAGCCCGGCCCTGGGAACATTGGGGTCAGAGCCATGGAGCCAGCCCGGCCCTGGGAACATTGGGGTCAGGGCCATGGAGCCAGCCCGGCCCTGGGAACATTGGGGTCAGAGCCATGGAGCCAGCCCGGCCCTGGGAACATTGGGGTCAGGGCCATGGAGCCAGCCCGGCCCTGGGAACAACGGGGGCAGAGCCATGGAGCCACCCCAGCCTCTGGAACATAGGGGTCAGGGCCATGGAGCCAGCCCGGTCTCAGCCCCCTTGATGCCTTCAGTTTTAGGTTTTATATTTTTCATACTCTGCACTGCCTCAGGGTGGGACTCTGAACTCCTTGTTTTAGCAAGTTCTCCTCACAGCTCAGTCCCACAATCAGTTTCCAGCCCCAGAACCAAGGACACCGCTGCAGCCTCAGCCCCAAAAAGTGCAAACAGCTGGAATGGAGGGGAGCAAACTGGGAGGGTGGGACTGCATCACCTGGAGCTGGAATTGGACAGTTAACCCCATATGGAAATGGACCAAAACTTATAAAAGTGTGAAAACTCATGACTCAGTCCATCTTGGGTGTAGCCACAGCCAGGCTCTTGTACTGCCCAGGATGTACCCTTTGAAGGATTTTCAATAAATCCTTGTTTTATTCTTTAACTGCGTCCAGCCTCTGTTCCAGGGAGTCCCTCAAGGCATCACCCTCAGCACCGGGCAGAGCCCGAGGCCCGGCCGGATGGCGCTCGGAGCAGCCCCAGCCGTCCCTACCCGCGGGACTGACAGCTCCGCTCCACGCTCCCGTCCTGACACAAGAGCCCGACCCCCCCCCTCCCCAACCTCCTCGCACCCCCTCAGGCCCCCCCAGCCACGTTTCCCCCTTCCCAACCAAACCCTCCCCGCGCCGCCATCACTTCCCCCTCACCCGCGGTCGCCATGGCAACGCCGCCGCACTTCCTGCTTTTCCCGGAAGCGCTGTTGTTACCATGGAGATCGTGACGTATTTCCGGCGCGCCGCCGCTATCCCGGAAGTGCCGCCCCTCGCAGACCTCAGCGTGGCCGCCATGGTGAGAGCGGGACGGCCGCGGGCTCGGGGGCCGCGAGTTTTGGTCCCACCGATGATTTAGCGGCTCCGCGTCCCCGGTCCGAGACTCCTGGGCGTTGGGGGCCGGCTTGGCCGCCCCCCCGCGTCCCAGGAGCCTCGGACCAGGGGCTGCGCTCGCCCCCCCACCCCGTCCTCACCCTCATTAATTATTTAATCATTAATTACAGAAGCCCATCCTGCTGCAAGGCCATGAGCGTTCCATCACTCAGATCAAATACAACCGCGAGGGAGACCTGCTGTTCACTGTGGCCAAGGATCCCGTGAGTGCTCCCCACCCCCGCTAATTAACCGTCCATTAATTAATCCTTAATTTTAATCTTTTTTTTTTTTTATTTCCTCCTCGCAGATTGTCAATGTTTGGTATTCGGTGAACGGCGAGAGGTTGGGAACCTACAATGGGCACACGGGAGCTGTGTGGTGTGTGGATGCTGACTGTATCCTTTGATCCCAAAAACCGGTTTTATTTCATATTTTAGTGGCTGAATCATTCCCGGTGCTTCCTCCTGGCTGCTCCTCATCTTCCTCTCCAAGAGCAGCATTTAAATTCTTCTTTTAAACTGAATCCATTCTTTCTGCTGCCTCTTCTTTTCCCATTTTTTGGGTGTTTTCCCATTTGAAATAACATCCCAATGGATTTCTAGGTTTGCTGTGCCTTTTGCTGCTTCTCTGGATATTTGGGAAGGTTTTCCACAGGCAGCAGAGATAAAAGTGTGGAAAATTTGTTTAAATGCAAAAACCGGAACCCTTTCTTTTAAATTTCATGGGGAAAAGATTGGGTTTTGCCATAGGAACACTTGTGCTCTGTGTTCCCTTCCCTGGGGCAGATTTTGGCCCAAAAATTCCCTTTTTTGGGTTCAGAACCGTTCTGTGAGTGCCCAGGCAGTGAAATTTGGGGCTGATTTTCCCTTAATGGTGGCCCAGGGGACACCAGGCACGTCCTCACCGGCTCTGCAGACAACAGCTGCCGCCTGTGGGACTGTGAGACAGGTGAGGCCAGCCCAGATCCCCCTGGGGGACACAGCTGGGACATCCCTGGGCCTGGGGGACACAGCTGGGACACAGCTGGGACTCTTCCCCTCCCCTGTTAAAATCTGAGGCTCCCCCAAGCAAGGCTGGAACTGACACAGAGCAGGGACCTGGAACTGAATCCATTCCTAAATTCCCTCCCCACCCAAACCATTCCAGGATTTTATTCCATGTTCTCCCAAGGTGTTTTTAATGAGGAAATCACTTGGCAGCTCCCTGAAAATTCCTCTTCCCCTCTTCTGCTAAAATCTGAGGCTGCCCTGAGCGAGGCTGGGATTGACACCTCAGCAGAAGGTGTGGAACTGAATCCATTCCCAAATTCCCACCCAGAGCATTCCAGGTTCCATTCCAGGGTTCCATTCTATTCCAGCACCTTCTCCCAATGAGGGTGGGTGTTTTGAATGAGAGAATCATTTCCCAGCTCCATGAAAATTCCTCCTCCCCTGATCTGGTAAAATCTGAGCGAGGCTGGAACTGACACCTCAGTGCAGGGTGTGGAACTGAATCCACTCCTTAATTCCCACCCAGAGCATTCCAGGATTTTATTCCATGCTCTCCCAAGGTGTTTTTTTAATGAGGAAATCCCTTCCCAGCTCCCTCAAAACTCCTCTTCCCCTCTCCTTTTTAAAGTTTGAGGTTCCCCTGAGCGAGGCTGGAATTGTCGCAGCGCAGAGACGCGGAATTGAATCCGCTGCTTGATTCCCACCCAGATCATTCCAGCTTCCATTCCACGCTCTCCCGAGGTGTTTTCAATTAGGAAATCCCTTCCCAGCTCCCTGAAAATCCCTTTTCCCCTGCTCTGCTCCCCAGGGAAGCAGCTGGCCCTGGTGAAGACCAGCTCGGCCGTGAGGACGTGCGGCTTCGACTTTGGAGGGAACATCATCATGTTCTCCACGGACAAGCAGATGGGCTACCAGTGCTTTGTCAGCTTCTTCGACCTCAGGGACCCCAGCCAGATCGGTGAGGGGCCAGGGGATCCCCCTCTGGGGTCCCACTCTGCTTTTTGGGGTTAAATCTCACCCCATTCCCATGGGCAGGGATTCCTTTCCCTGTCCCAAGTTGCTCTAACCTGGAGCGTTTTCAGGGATGGAGCAGAGGGGATGATTCCCTAAAAAAAATCTCTTTTCTGGATGATTTGGAGTGGTTGTGGGGTGATCACATCAGCAAGGACACAATTCCTTCATCCCCTTCCCTGTGGGATTCCAAAATGCTGCCCCTGGAAATCTGAGCTCCATAAATAAAAACCACCAAGGAATCCACCTTGAAATGCTGGAAAAGCCCAAATCCCGGCTAATCAGGGCACATAAAAGGATAAATCTTAATTTTTTTAGGGGATTATAAAGCTCCCAAACGAACCCCTCTTACCTCAGGAGCATCAGGAACAGGGAAGAGCCAATTTGTGGGAATGCTGCAGCAGGGGGTTCACCCTGAATTCCTGCACGTGAAAATTGAATTTCCCTAAAAAAATCTCTTTGCTGGGAGTGCTTGGGGGTGATTTTTTTCCCCTAAAAAAATCTCTTTGCTGGGAGGGGGGTGATCACATCAACAAGGACACAATTCCTTCATCCCCTTCCCTGTGAGATTCCAAAATGCTGCCCCTGGAAATCTGAGCTTCATAAATAAAAATCCGCCTTGAAATGCTGGAAAAATCCCAAATCCAGGCTGAGCATGGGGCACCAAGGGATCAATGGTGGCTGTGGGTGGCTGATTGCTCCTTCCCTGCCCCAGAGAACAACGAGCCCTACATGAAGATTCCCTGCAGTGACTCCAAGATCACCAGCGCCGTGTGGGGCCCGCTCGGGGAGTTCATCATTGCTGGCCACGAGAACGGGGAGCTCAACCAGTTCAGTGCCAAGGTCAGGGCCTGGGGCAGCATTCCTGGGGGGATCAGGGCTGGGATGTGGGATCTGGGGGCTCCAAAGAGCAGCTTCAGCAAGGATCATTGAAATATGGGGGTGCCCTGAGTGAGGCTGGAGTTGGCACAGCACAGGGTGCGGAACTGAATCCGTTCCTGAATTCCCTTCCTAAATTCCCTTCCTGAATTCCCTTCCTAAATTCCCTTCCAGCCCAGAGCATTCCAGGTTTTATTCCATCATCTCTTCTATTCCACGTTGATTTTAATGAGGGCTTCACTTCCCAGCTCCCTGAAAATTCCTCTTCCCTTTCCCTGTTGAAATCTGAGGCTCCCCTGAGCGAGGCTGGAATTGTCACAGCACAGAGACGTGGAACTGAATCCATTCCTAAATTCCCACCCTGAGCATTCCCTGTTCCCTTCCATGTTATTTTTAATGAGGGAATCACTTCCAGGGTTCCATTCCACGTTGTTTTTAATGAGGGAATCACTTCCAGGGTTCCATTCCACGTTATTTTTAATGAGGGAATCACTTCCCAGCTCCCTGAAAACTCCCTTTCCCCTCCAGTCAGGGGAGCAGCTCTCCAATATCAAGGAGCACACCAAGCAAATCAACGACATCCAGACCTCCAGGGACATGACCATGTTCATCACTGCTTCCAAGGATAACACAGCCAAGGTGAGCTTTTCCTGCACATTTCCTGGCAGGATCTCTCCTCACAGGGTTTTTCTTTTTTCCCTTGGGAATGTTCAGTGAGAAAGGGAATGAACAAATGAACAGCCAAGCATTGGAAATGAAATATTTTGGTATTTCCGTAGAACACTTGCAGTTTAAATTCTGGAAGGTGGAAGATTTCCCTTTCTGGGGGGATATTTTTGGGATTTGATCTTGGAGAGGGAACACCCACGCAGGTGAGGCCCAGCAGCTGCAGATAATGAATGAATTGATCTCTTTTTTTTTTCCCCTGCAGCTCTTTGACTGCACATCCCTGGAGCACCTGAAGACGTTCAGGACGGAGCGGCCGGTGAACTCTGCTGCCCTTTCCCCCATCTTTGACCACGTAAGGATGAGCTCCCTCAGGCTGTCACTGATCCTGGCTTTCCTGCATCATGGCTCTTCCCAGTCCAGCCCAAAACCAGGGCTCTGCAATGAACCTGGGGAGCTTTTGCTAGGTCAGGCACTGGGAGCAAAGTCTGGAGTGCTCTGATGGAATATGCCAGGGAGGGGGGAATTCCTCAGGGGGCTGGAGCCTGCTGGTGGCTTTGTGGCATTTGTGGGAAGTGCTGGAGGCAGTCACCACCTCTGGAAGTGTCCAGGGGACCTCTGGGCCTGGAACTCACTGCCCTAAACTGGTTTCAAGGTGGAGATCAATGTTGGAGGTTTTTCCCAACCCCGGTGATGCCAGGATTCCCCAAATCCCAGAGGGAAGCACTGAAGGGCTCTGGTTTTGGTTTCTCTGGTTTGCCTCCCCTGCAGGTGGTGCTGGGAGGAGGGCAGGAGGCCATGGATGTGACCACAACCTCCACCAGGATTGGCAAATTCGAGGCCAGGTTGGTCCTTCTCCCTGGGGCAGGGAAAATCCTCACCCAGAGCACCCCAGGGATTGCTCTTCCCTTTCCTTTGGGAACGTGGCAGTGCTGGAGAAACCCTTGAGCTCTTTTTTTTTAGTTTTTTCTTTTGTTTTTGAGGATTCTGTGGTTTTGTCCCGGGTTTGTGACAATTTCAATCTTCCTCCTCCCAGGTTCTTCCACTTGGCTTTTGAGGAGGAGTTTGGCAGAGTCAAGGGACACTTTGGGCCCATCAACAGCGTGGCCTTCCACCCTGATGGGAAGAGGTGAGAGCCTTGCAGTGTCCCCAGTTCCACTTTTGAACTGGGATGTGACCAGACTCAGGCTGGGGATGGAACCAGGCCCCGAATTCTCCCATCCTGAGCCAGCCCAGGGAGTCGCCCACACCCTGCCCCACACTTGGGCCACATCCCTGATTTTTTGTTTTCCACTTTGTGATTCCTGTATCAGTTTCAGGAGTGGGTGGGAAGGCCAAACTTCCTGGTTTTGCTGCCAGCAGCATTCCTGACTTTGCCATTCCTGACTTTTCCTTTCCTCCCTGCAGCTACAGCAGTGGGGGTGAGGACGGCTACGTCCGCATCCATTACTTCGATCCCCAGTACTTCGAGTTCGAGTTTGAAGCCTGAAGGAGGAATTTCCCTCTCCTCTCCTCTTCTTTTCCCTTCTCCAACCCCTTGCCCAGCCCAGGGGCTCCACCACAGGACTGCAGGAAAGGCCTGAAGTTGTTCTTGGCAGCGATTTTGGAGGGAGCTGTGGGAAATTGGGGAAGTGGGAACTCCAGTGGCTTTTACTGGGGCAAGAGTGAAGGGAACTGGGTTGGCTGCCTGCCCTGCTGGGCATATTTATAAACCAGGGGGAGGGGAAAAAAAGAGGAAATAAATAGAAATATTTTCTAAACACAAGGAAAAGCACCTCTGTGGGGTTGGTTTTTTTTTAGGTTGGTTTTCCCCATCTGGATCAAAATGAACCCAAGGACTTTGTTTTGCCAGCTCTGTTGTCATTTGTTCCACACCCATGGAGCAGAGCTGCTCCTCCTGGGACCTCTTCCCACCCATGAACTCCTTCCCAGGGAGGCTCCACAGCCTCAGGCCCTGCCCTGGAGTGTGAAGAAGCTGCAAGAGCAGCAGCCAGGAATTGTTTTGCACACTCCTGGCCCCGCTGCTCCGTTATCTGCTGGGCTGACCCCGAGCCAGCTCCCTCATGGAACAGATATTTCCTTTTCCTGCCCTGGGAGCTCCTGTGCAGATCCTCACCCTCCCACCCTCCTGGCTCTTTTATGTTTTTCCTTTTTCCTTCCTCAAAACTGGGCTCAAGGGCAGAATTCCCGGGCTGGCTCTGGGCTCGGAGCTGCTGGCACGACAGAGGCTGCAGCCTTTGGGATTTTGGGGGCAGATGTTGGGTTTGTGTGTCCTGGTGGGGTTTTTTTGGTGATTTTTGGGGTTTTTTTTGGTGTGATCTCCTGGTTTTTTTTGTGTGATCTGCTGGGGGTTTTTTGGTGTGATCTCCTGGGGATCTTGGTGTGATTGTTGGGCTTTTTCAGTGTGATCTGCTGGGGATCTTGGTGTGATCTGCTGGGTTTTTTTTTTTTGAGATCTAGGGTTTTTTTGTGTGATCTGTTGGGGTTTTTTTGTGTGTGATCTGCTGGATTTTTCTGGTGTGATCTGCTGGGGTTCTCTGTGTGATCTCCTGGATTTTTGGTGTCATCTGCTGCCCTTCAGCCCCAGAACCATCCACGGGCCCTGCTGCAATCCCAGTGGGGAGAAGCAGCTTCCTTATGGAAGAGCAGCACACAGGCAAAGGCTGGGAGAGAAATTTACTGAAACAAGCTCAGGGTGGGCAGCTGAAGGCTGGGAAAGCTCTGCCCACGGGCTCCGTGTCCTGCACAGCCCTTCCATGGGACAATCCAGCGTCACCTGGTCCCTGCTGTCCCCAGTTCACCATTCCCTGTCCCTGCAGGGGGCTCGGGGAGGGGCTGGCTCTGCCTTTTCCCTGTGCTCTCCTGGAGGGAGGAGCTGTTCCCCTGCACCAACCTCCGGATCTGCCCCCAGGCCTCCTCCAGGTGCTGGGAGGGACGGATCCACCGCAGGAAAAAGCCTGGAGAGAGAAGGGACTGGGGCTGAGCTCAGCCCTGTCAGAGAGGGAGAGGCAGAGCAGCCGCCCCTGAGCTCTGAGGGTGGATTTTGGGAGGATCCCACTCACCCTGCCACAGCTGGATGCTCTGGGGCTCCACGCAGGGCCAGATCACCAAGGGGTTGTGTGAGTACAGAGGGTTCAGGTACTTGTGCCTCTCCTCGGGCTGGTTCAGCCATGCCCACAGCGAGTGGGTGCTTTCCTTCACCTTACACAGGCTCCTGTGGGGGCACAGGGGGGACCCATCCCAGTCCCCAGCAGGGTTTGGTGTCACCCGGGCTGGGACAGGAGGGGTTTGTCCCCCGCACCCACCTCTCCCTCTCGTTATTGCACAGGAAGGTGCCGTAGGCCGAGGCGTAGGCGTTGTCAAAGAGGGTGAGCAGCAGCTGCTCCCCGAATTCCAGGGAGAGGGGGAACTGCCGGCTCAGCTGCCACACGCAGTCCAGGAAGAGGAGGAAAACGGGAGCCTCCTGCTTGCCCCGGGCGTGGGAGGAGGCGGAGCGGGCGCAGCGCAGCTGGAAGGGGTGCCCGGCCTGTGGGACCCTCATGGTGACCCAGAGTGCGGCCCCCGGCCAGGCTGGGCCCCCACCCTGCTCAGAACTCCCTCACCTGGATCCATTCCCGCTCAGAAATCCCTCACCTGGATCCATTCCCACTCAAAACTCCCTCACCTGGATCCATTCCCGCTCCAGCAGCCCCTGGAAGCCGTCCAGGGTGCGGCAGGCGGGGTCCAGGATCAGCTGGGCCAGCGCCGTCACCAGCAGCGTGGTGTCCGTGCCCTCGGCGCCGTGCACCAGCACCGTGCAGCCCTCCCTGCGGGGCCAGCCCGGCTTTGGGGTCACGCTGGGGCTCACAGAGGGGCAGGGCGGGCGAGCTGGGGCCCCCTTACCTGTCCAGGCACTGGGCAGCCAGGCAGGCCGTGCTCAGCGCCGCCTTGACGTGGCCGAGCCAGCGGCTGCTGTCCAGGCGGCCCAGCCAGCGCTCCATGGTCACAGCGGGGTCACTGCAGAGCTCCACCAGCCTGGAGAAACTGTCCTGCAGCACACGGCCCCTGGGGACACACGGGGGACACTGTCACACACGGGGGTCACTGTCACAGCTCCACCAGCCTGGAGAAACTGTCCTGCAGCACACGGCCCCTGGGGACACACGGGGGACACTGTCACACACGGGGGTCACTGTCACAGCTCCACCAGCCTGGAGAAACTGTCCTGCAGCACACGGCCCCTGGGGACATGGGGGACACTGTCACACACGGGGGACACTGTCACACACAGGGGACACTGCAGAGCTCCACCAGCCTGGAGAAACTGTCCTGCAGCACACGGCCCCTGGGGACACACGGGGGACACTGTCACACACAGGGGACACTGTCACACACGGGGGTCACTGTCACACACGGGGGTCACTGTCACACACAGGGGACACTGTCACACACAGGGGTCACTGTCACAGCTCCACCAGCCTGGAGAAACTGTCCTGCAGCACACAGCCCCTGGGGACACAGGGGACAGGGGGGACACGGTGGCACTGTCACACAGGGGACAGCACCCTGCCCTACCCTGTGGTATTTGTGATGGTCCCCAGGATGAAGGAGGAATTGAGAATCTGACTCCATGTACTCAGAAGGCTGATTTATTATTGTATTGTATTGTATAATTTATATTTTACTTTACAGTATATTTTATATTACAGTATATTACATTATATTTTACATTACATTTTATTTCATATTATATATGTTATATTTTATATGTTATATTTTATATTTTATGTATGTTATATTTTATGTTAGATTTTATGTTATATTTATATATTACATTATATTTTATATTATATATTACATTATATTCTATACTATGTATTATGTTTTGTATTATAGATTATATTGTATTGTATTATTCTATATTATGTATTATTGTATTATTGTATCATTATACAATATTATATAGTACAATAATATTTATATATTTATATTATTAGTTATATTGTATATTTATATTCTATATTTATGTATTTATTTATGTATTTATTTAGATATTTATTTAGATATTTATGTATTTATTTAGATATTTATTTATGTATTTATATTATATGAATGCTATACTAAACTATCCTAAAGAACAGAGAAAGGATACTTACAGAAGGCTTAACAGGAATGTCAGTGCAAGCTGGTGACTCCTCAGAGCCTCGACCCATCTGGCCGTGATTGGCCATGAGGTTAAACCAATTCCCATGCTGGATAAACCATCTCCAGCCCACATCCCGGAGCAGCAACACGGGAGGAGCTGAGGCTTCCCGGCTCCCCAGGAGCAAATCCCGGCGAGGAGGGGATTTCCCCGGAGCTGTGGCAGCGCCGTCCTCACCTGTCCAGGGCGCGGTGCAGCCGCCTCCAGCCGGGGTAGGCGGATTTGTGCTCGGTGCCGCCGCCGCTGATCCGCGCCTGCTTGGCCGCCTGCGCCGAGCGCGTGTCCAGGACAAAGCCGCGCTCGCCCTCGGCCAGGACCGTCCCCAGGAGCTGCTCGTCCTCACGGCTGCGCCGCCGGTTGGGGCCTGTCAGGGGCTGGCTGCTGCGGAGCAGGGCCTGGGGACAGGGGACACGGCTGGGGACGGGCGAGAGGGCGCCAGGGGGGCTCAGAGAGCCTGAAGGGGATCCAGGAGGGCTGGAGAGGGATTTGGGATAAGAGACTGGGGAACAGGACACGGGGAAATCTCCACCTGGAGGAGAGAGGGGGCTCCAGGATGTGACCTTAGAGAGCCTAAAGGGGATCCAGGAGGGCTGGAGAGGGATTTGGGATAAGAGATTGGGGACAGGACACAGGGAATGTCCACCTGGAGGAGAGAGGGCTCCAGGATGTGACCTTAGAGAGCCTGAAGGGGATCCAGGAGCGCTGGAGAGGGATTTGGGGGGAACAGGACACAGGGAATGTCCACCTGGAGGAGAGAGGGGGCTCCAGGGTGACCTTAGAGAGCCTAAAGGGGATCCAGGAGCGCTGGAGAGGGATTTGGGATAAGAGACTGGGGAACAGGACACAGGGAATGTCCACCTGGAGGAGAGAGGGCTCCAGGGTGACCTCAGACAGCCTAAAGGGGATCCAGGAGGGCTGGAGAGGGATTTGGGGTGAGGGATTGCACAGCTGGGAATATCCAGCCTGGAGGAGAGAGGGCTCCAGGAGGGCTGGAGAGGGATTTGGGGATAAGAGATTGGGGACAGGACACAGGGAATGGCTTCCCACTGGCAGAGGGCTGGGATGGATGGGATGTTGGGAAGGAACTCTTCCCTGGGAGGGGGTGGAATGGTTTTCCCAGAGCAGCTGTGGCTGCCCCTGGATCCCTGGCAGTGCCCAAGGCCAGGCTGGAGCACCCAGGGACAGTGGGAGGTGTCCCTGCCATGGCAGGAGTGGGGCTGGATGAGCTCCAGGATCCCTTCCCACCCAATTCTGGAATCCTCTGACGATGGAATCCCCCTTTGGAGAGGCCGGGGGGTGTAGGGGGGGCCGGCAGAGGGGCGGCCCGGACTCACGGTGCCGTTTTTGGGGTGGAAGTAGCTGAGGACGGGGAAGCGCCCGCCCTGCCGGAACCGCGCCGCCCTCGCCACGGTGGCATCGGCCACGGCCGCGGGCACCAGCACGGCGGGCGGGTACGAGGGGCAGGCGCTGAAATCGCTGTTCACGGTGCTCAGCCGCCAGCGGCTCGTCTGGGGGAGAGGCGACATCAGCGACATCAGCGACATCAGCGACACGAGCGGCAGAGCTCGGGGAAGGCGGCGGGTCCGAGCCGGGCGGGCTCACCTGCGAGGCCACCCGCTGGAAGTGGCGCTCGGGGACACGGAGGTGCCAGCCCTGCTGGAGCTGCAGGCTCGGGGGGCGGTAGAAGAACGGGTACAGCATCATCACCGAGTCCACCGAGGACAGCGCCTGCTCGGGGACACCGGGGCTGCTCGGGGACACCGGGGCTGGCACTGTCCCCGTGTGCCAGCGCCGTGTGCCAGCGCCGTGTTTACCCAGTTAATGCCGGCCCCAGAGCAAACACGGCAGCGCTTTCCCAACCCTTTGCTGCCCGGCCGGGCTCACCTCGATGGAGCTGGCGATGTTCAGACACTCCTCCATGCCCGGGATCTCCAGCTGCAGCACCTGCAGGTCCTTGCAGCGCAGCGTGATGGTGCCGGAGGAGCCGCAGACCCTGCGGGAGCGGGGTCAGGGCTGCTTTGGGGACAGTCGGGGCTGCTTTGGGGACACACGGCGACAGCACCGAGCCGCCCTCTCCTCCCCCGGGGGCCGTGCCGGATTTGAGGCTCTCATCTGCCACCGCAGCCGGGATGGGGCGAGGGGACAGAGCCAAAAAAGCCAAACCTGGTGTCCCGCAGGGAGCCGCCGCTCCGGGGGGGTTGGTACCAGCCTAAATTCTGCACTCTGAGGAGGAGGAGGAGGAGGAGGAGGAGAGGAGGCAATGCCCGCTCTGCCCCCCCGGGAGGAAGAGGAGGAGGAAGAGGAAGGACGCGGTGCCCGGGTGCAGCGCGGTGCCCGTGGGGAGCCCACCGGGAGAGGGGGGGATCCTCCAGCTCAGGGGCAGGGACAGGGGACAGGGACAGCCCTGGGGACATCCCCACCTTTTCTCCACGGCGTCCACGTTGCGGATGAGCAGCCAGAGCTCCAGCTCGCCGCGGGGGCAGGAGGAGAGCAGCAGGTGGTGGCTGGTGATGCACAGCGTGCCCCGCACCGCGGGCAGCCCCTGTCGCGACAGCAGCACGTCCTCCACTGTCGCCGTCTTGATCAGCTCCGAGAACTCCATGGGCGCCGCCTGGGCCCGGCCGGGGAAGGAGGAAAGGGAAAAAAAAAAAAAAAGAAAAAAAAAAAAAGAAAAAAGGGGAAATCCTGCGGTTCTGGGCCCGCCTGGAAACCCCTGCCCTGCGCGTCAGGCGGCGCGCTGTCCCCTCTCCGTGGTGACATTGTCACCTCCAGCACGCGGCATGGCCCCGCCAGGCAGCGGGGAAACTGAGGCACGGAGGGCTGAGCTGGCTGTGCTGGAGGGGATTTATGGGGGCGATTTTTGGGATCGCAGGGAGCAGCTCCCGCTCCTTCCCCGCCCCTCTGGGCTGGACGCCGTTAGCGACCCCGGTCCCCACGGGCTCTGCTGTCCCCAAAGCCACCCCCGGGGCTGGGGACGGGGCAGGAGAGGAGGAGGAGGAGGAGGAGGAGGAGGAGGAAGAGGAGGAGGAGGAGGAGGAGGAGGGTGGGTGGCGGTGCTGCTGCCCCGGGCTCTGCTTACCTGCTCGGGCTGGGTGGAAGGTGGGGACCTGGGGGACAAGCCGGGACCTCAGAGCGCCAACAGGGACCTGCCGGCCATAAGGAGAGGACTCTGGGGGCACAAACGGGAATTTTAGGGGACAAGCAGGGGATTTTGGGGGACACGGAAGAGCTCAGGGTGCAAGGAGGGGACCCCGGGGTGCTCGGGCGGGGGTTTGGGGCTGCGGGAGGGGGATTTGGGCCATCTCGGCGTGGAAGGGGGGGTGGCGATGTCCCCGCACAGCCCGGCCCGGCCCGGCCCGGCTGGCGGATGTCGGGTTTAAGGTGGCCCGGCCCGGAGGGAGGCGGCGATGCCCGGGGCTGGGTTTGGGGCTGGGTTTGGGGCTGGGTTTGGGGTCCTTGCGTGCGCTGCGACAGCGAGGGGACCCGGGGGGGCCGCGGGAGGGGACACGCGAGGGGACAGCGGGACTGGGGAGCGGCGCGGGGGGAGCACGGGGGGGATTTTGGGGATACTCTGGGGGGGCTGAAGGGGATGAGGGTGGGCGGGTGAGACCCCTGAGCCACCCCCGCTGCCCCTGGAGCCCGGCGGGCACGGGGGAGGTGGCGCAGGACAGATCCGGACGCGGCTCCACCTTAAGGTCCCGTCCGGGTGCGGGACCCCGGCTGCCCCCCCTGGGCACCCCCCCCCCCCCCCCGGTTCTTTTTCCTTCCTCGGTTTTTTTTGGGCCCCCCCAAGAAGCGGGGAGGGGCGGCTGAGGCCGCGGATAAATCATGAAATCATTCCCGCTCCTCCGTGCCTGGTGAAGGCTCCGTCCGGGAACGGGGAGGCTCCTCCCAGGCAGAGACAATGGTGTTAAAAAAGAAAAGAAAAGGAAAAAAAAAATAAAGCAAAAAAAAAAAGCTACCAAAAAATAAAAAAAACCCCAACGCAACAAGCCAAAAATACTCCTCTAGATAAGGAAATTCCTGCCCATCGGATTTGTCCTCGAGGGGTGGATAAATAGCCGGGAAGCGGGCGCAGCTGGGGCAGGGAGTGGGTGCGTGGTCGCGGGCAGGGCGGGGGCTTCATTCACCCGTGGGGAGGGCGCAGAGATCCGCGGGGTTTTGGGGTTTTGGGGCCGCTCCGCTCTGTCCCACCATGGCTTTCAGGCAGCTGAAATTCAAGGAACTGGGCGAGGAGGAGCCCACCTGGGAGCAGGAGAGCCTGGAGAGCCTGAAGGCGCTGGCGGCCAAGCTGAAGCTGCAGACGCGGCGCCCCTCGTACCTGGAGTGGGAGGCGCGGGTGAGGGGGCAGCGCTGGGGCACCCCCGGGGCACCGCAGAGCCCCCCGCACCGCCAGGAGCAGCAGCCGGGTGGCGTTTGTGGCTTTGCCACCGTGGAGGCGGCTCTGGAGTGGCTCAGGACGGAGCTGGTGAGTGGCGCGGGGACACGGAGCGCTGGGGACACCGGGCACGGCAGCGTCCGGGGCTCTGGGCTCCTCTGCCCGCCTTGCTGGGCCTGCGGGGATTGGATTTTCCCGAGGTTTTTGTGGCTCTGGGGTGCCACAGCCTCTGCCTTGTGGGGGTCACCCCCTCGTCACCCCGTCCTGCCGCTCTGGGGGTGGCACGGAGGGCACGATCCGAGCCGCGGCCGTGCCCAGCCTGGCACCGCGGGGCGGTCGCGGGTTTGTGGCCTGGCCGAGCGCCGTCCCCGCTGCCCGGGCACCGCTCCCGTGGCTCCACGGTGGTTCCCTTGTCCCCGCAGCGGGAGATGCAGGCCCTGGACCAGCGGCTGGCGCAGCAGCTGATGCGGCTGCGGGCGCGGCTGCACCGGCTGAAGGTGGAGCAGGCCTGCCACCAGCACAAGGAGATGCTGGACGACGCCACCTTCGGCCTCGAGGGCTGCGAGGAAGACTCGGATCTGCTGTGCACCATCCCCCCCAAGGCCGCCTTCCTGCTCTCCACGCCGCTCAAGCACATCGGCGTCACCCGCATGAACATCAACTCCCGCCGCTTCTCGCTGTGCTGAGCGCGCCCCGCCCGGGGCACCGCGGGCATCTGGGGGCCCTCGGGACTCTGGGGCTGCGGTGACAGCGGAGTGTCACCGTGCCCGTGGGTGCCGCCATTGCCCCCAGGGCATCGGGGATGTCACCATCCCTGTGGGGCACAGGCGTCACCATCCCCATGGGTGTCACCATCCCCATGGGCACAGGAGTGTCACCATCCCTGTGGGGCACTGGGAGTGTCACCATCGTCCCCAGGGCATGGCAATGTCACTATCACCAGGGCACGGGAATGTCACCATCCCGGAGTGTCACCATCCCCACGGGCACAGGAGTGTCACCATCCCCATGGGTGTCACCATTGCCCCCAGGGCATGGCAATGTCACCAACCCCACGGGCACAGGAATGTCACTGTCCTGGACTATCACCTTCCCCTCCCCATGGGCACGGGAATGTCACCATCCCGGAGTGTCACCATCCCCACAGGTGTCACCGTCCCCACGGGCACAGGAGTGTCACCACCCCCCCGGGGCGTTTTGGGGCCCGGCCCTGGGGGTGTTGGGGCTCAGCCCCGTGGGCAATGTGGGGTTCAGCGCTTTGAGGTGGAATAAAAGGAGCTGAGGCTGGGAGCCGATGGCTTTTCCTCATCTGTGCCTCCAGATGTGACTCCCGCCCTTTCTTAGGCGGGTGACACCTCCAGGTGCCACTTGGGGATGCGACTTTCACAGAGCCCCGGGTGAAGCAGCGCCAGGGGAGCCTTGGGGATCATTTTGATCATTTTGGGGGCCGCTCCTCCCTGCCAGGACACGAGCAGAGCCCGAATGTGCCCCCAGGCTGCCGCATCCCCCCGGCCCTGTCACCTCTGCACTTCCTGCCTGTGCCTGCGGCTTCCCGCCCGATCAAAGCCGCCAGCACAATGTCGCTGTGGTCGCTGTCCCTAAAACAGCGCTGCCACCCCCGGGGCCACCGCGGCTCCCCTCCGCTCCTTGTCACCGCGGCTCTCAGGCTGCCCAGGGCGGCGGGGACACGGCGGTGACAGCCCAAGGGGGCTCCGAGCAGTGTCCCACAGCACACAGGGGACATTGGGGCACGGGGAGGAGGGTGGCAGTGCCAGGAGGGGACACTGGGGGGGAACGGGGACAGCGCAGGGTGGCCCAGAGAGGGCAGCGCAGGGACAGAGCGGGGACAGCGCAGGGACAGAGCGGGGACAGCGCAGGGACAGCGCAGGGACAGCGCAGGGACCGAGGGGACAGCGCAGGGACCGAGGGGCGCTGGCAGCAGGTGCCACCCGCGGGGCTCTCAGCGTGCCCTCGCCACGGGACCGGCGGTGGCCGGAAGCCATCGGGGTTTGTCACTCGCTGCTCTTGCGGTCGGGGGCGAGCTGAGAACGGCTCCGGGCTCCTCTCGGCTCCGCTCATGAGGCGGAAACCGGGGCGAGGCGGGGACAGCGGCGGCGCAGCGGGGCCGGGGGCTCCGCTCCGCTCCCCAAAACACCCGGGGGGCTCCGCTCTGCACCCCAAAACACCCGGGGGGCTCCGCTCTGCACCCCAAAAGGATCGAGGGACTCCGCTTTGCACCCCAAAAGATCCGGGGGGCTCCGCTCTGCACCCCACAAGGTTCGAGGGGCTCTGCTTTGCACTCCGTAAGGCTCGGGGGGATCCTCTCTGCACCCCAAAAGGCTCGAGGGACTCTGCTCTGCACCCCACAAGGTTAGAGGGGCTCTTCTCTGCATCCCATCTGGCTTGGGAGACTCTGCTCTGCACCCCACAAGGTTCTGGGGGCTCCTCTCCGCACCCCACAAGGCTTGGGGGACTCTGCTCTGTGCTCCATAAAGATCTGGGGGCTCCTCTCCGCACCCCAAAAGGCTCGGGGAGCGCTGCTTTGCACCCCACAAGGCTCAGGGGGCTCCTCTCTGCATCCCACCCAGCTTGGGGGACTCTGCTCTGCACCCCAAAGGACCCGGGGGCTCTGCTCCGCACCCCACAAGGCTTGGGGGGCTCCGCTTTTCACCCCAAAAGCCTCAGGAGGATCCTCTCTGCACCCCACAAGGCTTGGGGGGCTCTGCTCTGCACCCCTAAAGGCTCGGGGGGCTCCTCTCCACACCCCACAAAGCTCTGGGGGCTCCACTCTGAGCCTGCCCAGCTCGGGGGGCTCCTCTCCGCACAGCAAAAGGATCGGGTGACTCCACTGTGCACCCCAACAGACCCGGGGGGCTCCTCTGCGCACCCCACAGGGCTCGGGGCCTCCTCTCTGCGCCCCTCCCGGCCCGGGGGGCTCCTCCGCGGCTGCCGAGGATGAGGAGGCTGTGACGGGCACAGGACATGGCTCAGTGACAGCGGCCGCTCCTCTCCCTCACCAGGTGAGAGCGGGGCAGGGGGCCCGGCCCCGGCGGGGTTTGGGGGGCACCTGTGGGGTGGGAGGGACGGGAATGGGGGCTCGGGTTCGTTCCGAGCCGGGCCGGGCTCCGCATCCCCCGGGGCATCCCGGGATGGGGGCCCCAGGGCGCTGTCCCCGTGTCCCCCGCCCGCATGGGGACCCTGCAGGGGCCGGGGCCCTCCCCAGGGCTCCATCCCCAGGGCCCAGCAGCGATTCCGTGCCCGGGGCTGTGCCCGAGGCACCCGCGGCAGCCCCGCGCTGCCTTCTCAAGGTTGGTGACAAATGTGGGGCTCAGGCACTCAGAAATTCCCAATTTTGGGGGCTTCAGGCACTCAGAAATTCCCATTTTTGGTGCCCAGTTTGGGAATTTCCCATTTTTGGTACCCAATTTGGGGTTCGGACCCTCAGAAATTCCCATTTTTGGTACCCAATTTGGGTTTCAGGCCCTCAGAAATTCCCATTTTTGGTGCCCAGTTTGGGTTTCAGGCCCTCAGAAATTTCCATTTTTGGTGCCCAATTCCCATTTTTGATGCCAAATTTGGGGATTCAGGCCCTCAGAAATTCCCATTTTTGGTGCTCAATTCCCGTTTTTGATGCCCAATTTGTGCTTCAGGCTCTCAGAAATTCCCATTTTTGGTGCTCAATTCCCGTTTTTGATGCCCAATTTGTGCTTCAGGCTCTCAGAAATTCCCATTTTTGGTGCCCAATTCCCATTTTTGGTGCCCAATTCCCATTTTTGGTGCCCAGTTTGGGTCTCAGGCCCTCAGAATTTCCCATTTTCGCTGCCAGCCCGGTGCCCTGCTCAGTGGCAGCACTGGGGACACGGCCCTGGTGGCCCTGCCAGGCTGTGCCAGCCCCGGGTGCCCATCCCGAGGGCTCCCAGCTGGCCCAGGCTGGCACCAGGCATGGGGACCATGCAGATCTCAGCCCTCCCACCCTGGTGACAAAGCAGCAGGGCCACGTGGGAGGAAGGGACAGCACAGGGCAGGACAGGGAGCCCAAACCCAGAGGAAAAAACCCCAAAAATTGAAGCACACACCTGGCAGAGACACCCGTGCCCACCTGGACACGCTCGGGGGGCACCTCCCTGCCAGCCCCTTTGGCACAAAGAAATTCGGTTGCACCAAAAGAGAGAGAAAAAAAACACAACTTCAAACACCCTTTTTTGGGGTTTTGTTGTTTTTTTTGTTTTTTTTGGTTTTTCTTTTTCTCGTGAAACGGCTGCTGGGTGGAAATTACGCTGTGGCTTGGGGCCGGGAGGAAAAAAGAAAAGCACAATAGCAGCACCTCCCTCCTCAGCCCGGGAGGAAAAAACAGAAAAGCAGCTCCTGGAGGGGTCTGAAGGGCTCTGGGGAGTGGGTTTGGGATCTCTCAGCTGTCCTGTAGCTCTGGGTAAGAAATGTGGGCACTTTGAGGTTGTTCTGGTCCTTAAAAGCTGAGCTTGAGCTGGGTTCTGATCAGAAAAGTCCTCAAAATGTTGGTGAATTTTGGATTTTTTTACTCTTCTGGTTACCTGGCTGAAATGTGGGCACTTTGAGGTTGTTCTGGTCCTTAGATCTGGGCCTGAGTTGGGTCCTGCTCAAAAATGCCTCAAAATGTTGGTGAATTTTAGATTTTTTTCTCTCCTGGCTGAGATGTGGGTACTTTGCTGCTGTTCTGGTCCTTAAAAGCTGAGCTTGAGCTGGGTCCTGCTCAGAAAAGCCCCGAAATATTGGTGAATTTTGGATTTTTTACTTTTCTGGTTACCTGGCTGAGATGTGGGCACTTTGATGCTGTCTTTGTCCATAAAAGCTGAGCCTGAGCTGGGTCCTGCTCAAAAATGCCTCAAAATGTTGGTGAGTTTTGGATTTTTTTCTTACCTGGCTGAGATGTGGGCACTTTGATGCTGTCTTTGTCCATAAAAGCTGAGCCTGAGCTGGGTTCTGCTCAAAAGAGGCCTCAAAACGTTGGTGAATTTTTGGATTTTTTTGTTCTCCTGGTTACCTGGATGAGATGTAGGAGGTCTTGGTGGTGCTGGGAGTTGTAAAGAAAGAGTCAGCAAAAGGAAATTCGTGTTTGGAAACCGTGACCCTTCCTGCAGTGCGGCCAGAGCCCTTCCTGGGTGCCAAAATGTGTCCCCAGATGTGTCCCCAGATGTGTCCCCAGGGGCTGAAGGCACCGGGGTGGGTTTGGGGTGCCCAAAGCAGCGCTGTAGGGTGTGGGGACCTCCCTCCTGAGTGTCCCCTGGCCAGAATCAGCTGTCACCTGCTCCTCTGGCACTGTGGGACAGTCCCGGGGCTCCTGTCACCTCTGGGCGCCTCAAAAATCAAACCTGGAAGTGCAGGATGGGGGCTAAACTGGCAACCCTGGGACCCCAAACCCTCCCTGGGGACCCCAAACCCTCCTTAAGGGCCTCAAATCCTCCTTGGGGACCCCAAACCCTCCTTAAGGGCCTCAAATCCTCCTTAGGGAGCCTAAACTCTCCTTAAGAACCTCAAACCCTTCTTAAGGACCTCAAACTCTCCTTAGGGATCCCAAACCCTCCTTAAGGATCCCAAACTCTCCTTAGGGATCCCAAACCCTCCTTAAGGATCCCAAACTCTCCTTAGGGATCCCAAACCCTCCTTGGACAGCCCAAACCCACCCTGGGGACCCCAAACTCTCTTTAAGGACCCCAAACCCTCCTTAAGGACCTCAAATCCTCCTTAGGGACCCCAAACCCTTCCTAGGAATCCCAAACACTCCTTCAGGACCCCAAACCCTCCTTAAAGACCTCAAACCCTCCTTAAGGATCCCAAACCCTTCCTGGGGACCCCAAACTCTCCTTAAGGACCCCAAACCCTCCTTAAGGACCTCAAATCCTTCTTAGGGACCCCAAACCCTTCCTAGGAATTCCAAACCCTCCTTAAGGATCCCAAACACTCCTTAGGGATCCCAAACTCTCCTTAAGGACCCCAAACCCTCCTTAAGGACCTCAAATCCTCCTTGGGAATCCCAAACACTCCTTAAGGATCCCAAACCATCCTTAGGGATCCCAAACCCTCCTTAAGGATCCCAAACCATCCTTAGGGATCCCAAACCCTCCTTAGGGACCCCAAACCCTCCTTAAGGACCCCAAACCCTCACTGAACAGGCCCCACGTGCCCTGGCTGCCACGTCAGGGGCCACAGCTGGGGCTGTGACACACCTGGGCTGGCTGGTGGCCGGAAGTCACAGCTGGGATGAGGGGTTGGGGACAAATCCTGGCCCCGTGGGCGTGGGGGATTCTGCAGAAGAGACTTTTCCGGGGCCCACGCGCCACCGCCGGGGTTTGTGCCACGCTCAGCGTTTTTGGGAAAGCCAAAGGTGCCCACGGGGTTTGTGCCACGCTCAGCACTCTCAGGAAAGCCAGAGGTGCCCAAATTTGTGCCATGCTCAGCATTTTGGGAAGGCCAGAGGTGCCCGGGTTTGTGCCACTCTCAGCGTTTTTGGGAAAGCCAAAGGTGCCCACGGGGTTTGTGCCACTCTCAGTGTTCTCACCCAGAGGTGCCCACGGGGTTTGTGCCATGTTCAGCACCCTCAGCAAGGCCAGAGGTGCCCAAATTTGTGCCATGTTCAGTGTTTTTGGGAATGCCAGAGGTGCCCGTGGGGTTTGTGCCACTCTCAGGAATGTCAGAGGTGCCCGTGGGGTTTGTGCCATGCTCAGGGTTCTCACCCCGAGGTTCCTGTAGGGTTTGTGCCACTCTCAGCACTCTCAGGAATGCCAGAGATGCCCAGATTTGTGCCACACTCAGCGTTTTTGGGAATGCCAGAGGTGCCCGTGGGGTTTGTGCCACATTCAGCACTCTCAGGAATCCCAGAGGTGCCCACAGGGTTTGTGCCACACTCAGTGCTCTCACCCAGAGGTTCCTGTAGGGTTTGTGCCACTCTCAGCACTCTCAGGAATGCCAGAGGTGCCCGTGGGGTTTGCAGAGATCCTGACAAAGGTGCCCACACCCTGGTGCCATCGTGGGGACACCGTTGTCACCGTGGCTGAGCCTCGAGGGCATTGCAGGACCGGGGGTTTAGGAACAGCCCTGCTGCAGCAGGAATGGGGCTGGGTGGGATGTGGGGATGTGGGATGGGAATTTGTAGGAAAAGGAGTTTGGATGTGCCCACATCCGGCTGTGAGATGGGTTTTAGGGTCGGGGAGGTGCTTGCCCAGCCAGAGCCCGTTAATGGCGAGCTGCAGGAGCGTGTTAATTGCTATGTTAATTGCTAATGGGATGTTAATGAGGAGGTTGTTATGTGCAGGGAGAGCAGAGGGATCAGCCCCAGGGTGGCACAGCGGGGAGGAGCCGGCACAGAGGAGCCTCAGGCTGGGCACTAATTGCCTTCAGTGGTTTTAATTAACGAAGGCAGGATAAATTAGGAGGAAATAACGGCTGGTGAGAGTCAGGGAATGTCCCAGGGAATGGATGGATGGATGGATGGATGGATGGATGGATGGATGGATGGATGGATGGATGGATGGATGGATGGATCCATGGGCAGATGGATGGATGGATGGATGGATGGATGGATGGATGGATGGATGGATGGACGGATGGACGGACGGATGGATGCAGGAATGGGGATGTCCTGGAGCAGTAGGAGAGCCACTGATGGGGCTGCCCTGTGTCCCCTGTGTCCCCCACAGCCACCATGGGCTGCTGCTGCAGCTCAGACTACGATGAGGACTGGATCGAGAACATCGACATCTGCGAGCACTGCAATTACCCCATCGAGCCCAACAGCAAGCGCCAGGTGAGGAGGGGTCACAGACCCTGATCCCGGTGCCCAGACACCCCCAGAGGTGCCCAGACACCCCCAGAGGTGCCCAAACCCCACGAGCTGGGGGCTCACGGGGCTCCTGTCCCCTGGCAGAGGCCGATCCGCAACGGCTCCGAGGTCCGAGACCCCCTGGTGTCCTACGAGTCCTTGTCACCTCCGTGCTCCCCCATGCAAGGTGAGGCACGGCTGTGGCCTGGGGGGGGACTGTGACACCCCCAGAGTGGTCACTGTCACCCTGTCCCTCCTCTTGTCCCCACAGACAAGCTGGTGGTGGCCCTGTACAACTACGAGCCCAAGCACGATGGGGACCTGGGGCTGCGCAAGGGGGAGAAGCTGCGAGTGCTGGAAGAGTGAGGAGACTCAGAGGGGCTGGGGCAGGGCCTGGGGGGCTCATTGAGGGTCTGGGGGGCTCATTGAAGATCTGGGGGGTTTCACTGAGGGCCTGGGGGTCTCACTGTGCTCTGTCCCTGCAGGAACGGGGAGTGGTGGAAGGCGCAGTCGCTCACCACGGGCCAGGAGGGGCTGATCCCACACAACTTCGTGGCCTTGGTGAACAGCCTGGAGCCCGAGCCGTGAGTGGGGAGGGATGGAGGGATGGATGGATCCATGGATGGATGGAGGGAGGGATGAAGGGGTGGACAGAGGGGTGGATGGATGGATAGATGGATCTATGGAGAGATGGATGATGGAAGAATGGATGTAGGGATAGATGGACAAAGGGATGGATCCATAGATAGATGGACAGACAAAGGGATGGATGGATCCATTCATGGATTTGTGGATGGATCCATGGAGAGTTGGATGGATGGATGGATGGATCCATGGATGATGGATGGATGGATCCATGGAGAGATGGATGAATCCCTGGAGAGATGGATGCATGGACGGATGAAGGGATGGATGGATGGATGGATCCATGGATGGATGGATGGATCCATGGATGGATGGATGGATCCATGGATGATGGATGGATGGATCCATGGAGAGATGGATGATGGATGGATGGATGGATCCATGGATGGATGGATGGACAGATGGATGTGTCCCAGCGGGATCTGATCTCTGGGAAGGAGCCTGCAGCACCCCACAAATCCCCGGTGGTTGAGTCCCCTGTGCCCTGACCCTGCCGTGTCCCCAGGTGGTTCTTCAAGAACATCAGCCGCAAGGACGCCGAGCGGCAGCTCCTGGCCTCGGGCAACACCCACGGCTCCTTCCTCATCCGCGAGAGCGAGACCTCCAAAGGTGCCGCCCGCGGGTCCCTGGGGCTCGGGGGGCTCGGGAGGGCTCGGGGGTCCCCGGGAGGGCTCGGGGGTCCCACGCGTGTCCCTGTCCCCAGGCTCGTACTCGCTGTCTGTGCGGGACCTGGACGAGAGCCAGGGAGAGACGGTGAAGCACTACAAGATCCGGAACCTGGACAACGGCGGCTTCTACATCTCCCCCCGCGCCCCCTTCAGCAGCCTCAGGGAGCTGGTGCAGCACTACACACGTGGGAACGGGAATGGGAATGGGAACGGGAACGGGATGGGAATGGGATGGAATGGGAATGGGGCAGGGATGGGATGGGATGGGATGGGATGGGATGGGATGGGATGGGACAATATGGGACAAGATGAAATAGGAATGGAAGAGAATTGGATGGGGTGGAACACAATGGAATTGGGATGGGATGGGATGGGAATCGGAGAGACTAAGAGGGGACGGTACAGGATGGGATGGGAATGGGATGGGACTGGAGGGGATGGTACCAAACAGGATGGAATGGGATAGGATGGGATAGGAAAGTTGTGGGATGGGATGGGAAGGGATGGGATGGGGCAGGGTGATATGGGACAAGATGAAATGGAGATGGAATGGAATGAGATGGGATGGGATAGGATAGGATGATGAGGGACAAGATGAAATGGGAACGGAAGAGAAGAAAATTGGATGGGGTGAAACAGGAAGGAATGGGAATGGGGACGGGGCAGGATGTGATGGGACGGGGCAGGATGGGATGGGATGGGATGGGATGGGACAGGACGGGATGGGATGGGATGGGATGGGACGGGCTGCGATGAGCAGGAGCCGCTGCTCCCGCTGCCCCAGGCCAGCCCTGGCTCTGCCGGGCGCCGGCGCTGGCCCAGCTCTGCCTCCCCGTGGCCCAGGCAGCTCCGACGGGCTCTGCTGCCGCCTGGGCAAGCCCTGCCAGACGCAGAAGCCGCAGAAGCCGTGGTGGCAGGACGAGTGGGAGGTGCCGCGGGAGTCGCTGAAGCTGGTGGAGAAGCTGGGAGCGGGGCAGTTCGGAGAGGTCTGGATGGGTGAGTCAGGGTGAAACTGAGGCACAGGGAGAGCAGAGGGATCCCCCAGCTGGGATCTCACACTCCGGACAATTCCGAGATGGACATTTCACTTAAAATGGATTTCTGCTCTAGAAAATTTCTGCTCTGTAGTTTTCAAACTACAGACAATTCAAAGATGAACATTTCACTTAAAATGGATTTCTGCTCTAGAAAATTTCTGCTCTGTAGTTTCCAAACTACAGACTTAAAGATGGACATTTCGCTTAAATCAAAATGGATTTCTATTCTAGAAAAATTCTACTCTGTAGTTTTCAAACTACAGACTGAACTCAAAGATGTACATTTCACCTAAATCAAAATGGATCTCTACTCTAGAAAATTTCTAAATTTCTACTCTGTAGTTTTCAAACTGGAGACTTAAAGATGGACATTTCACTTAAATCAAAATGGATTTCTGCTCTAGAAAATTTCTGCTCTGTAGTTTTCAAACTACAGACTTAAAATTTACATTTCATTTAAATCAAAATGGATTTCTACTCTAGAAAATTTCTGCTCTGTAATTTTCAAACTACAGACTTAACTCAAAGTTTACATTTCATTTAAATCAGAATGGATTTCTACTCTAGAAAATTTCTACTCTGTAGTTTTCAAACTGCAGACTTAAAGATGGACATTTCACTTAAATCCAAATGGATTTCTACTCTAGAAAAATTCTACTCTGTAGTTTTCAAACTACAGACTTAAAATTTACATTTCACTTAAATCAAAAGGATTTCTACTCGAGAAAATTTCTACTCTGTAGTTTGAAACCTACAGACTTCACTCAAAGATGTACATTTCACTTAAATCAAAATGGATTTCTACTCTAGAAAATTTCTTCTCTGTAGTTTTCAAACTGCAGACTCAAAGATGCACATTTCACCTAAATCAAAGTGGATTTCTACTCTAGAAAAATTCTACTCTGTAGTTTTCAAACGACAGACTGAACTCAAAGATGTACATTCTGCTTAAATCAAAGTGGATTTCTACTCTAGAAAATTTATACTCCGTGTCACCCCAAGGTTTCTACAACGGGCACACGAAGGTGGCAGTGAAGAGCCTCAAGGCTGGCAGCATGTCCCCCAGCGCCTTCCTGGCCGAGGCCAACCTGATGAAGAAGCTGCAGCACGCGCGGCTGGTGCGGCTCTACGCCGTGGTCACCAAGGAGCCCATCTACATCATCACCGAGTTCATGGAGAAGGGTGAGGCTGCCCCGGGGGGCTCCAGGCGCTGCCCCGTCCTCGGGGATGTGGCCACGGAGGTCTGGGGTTTTAAGGTTGGGAAAGGTCTTTGGGGTAAAGTTCAAGCTGGGAAAAATTCCCATTTAAACTGGCAGAGTGATGTGTGCTGGGCATTGTCCTGGCAAGGGTCACCGATCTTAGGGGGGTCCTTGTGGCCCCAATTGGGTCCTGGGTGTTGTCCTGGCAAGGGTGACAGAGCCTGGGGTGGTCCCTAAAACCTGGGGGTGACCCTATTTGAGTCCTGGCCATTGTCCTGGCAGGGGTTACAGAGACTGGGGAGGTCCCTGTGGCCCAAATTGGGTCCTGGGCATTGTCCTGGCAAGGGTGACAGAGCCTGGGATGGTCCCTGCCACCCAAACTGAGTCCTGGGCATTGTCCTGGCAAGGGTGACCAATCTTAGGGGAGTCCCTGTGGCCCAAATTGGGTCCTGGGTGTTGTCCTGGCAAGGGTGACAGAGCCTGAGGTGGTCCCTGTGGCCCAAAATGGGTTCTGGGCATTGTCCTGGAAGGAATGACCAAGCCTGGGGTGGTTCCTGCCACCCAAAATGGGTCCTGGGCATTGTCCTGGCAGGGGTTACAGAGACTGGGGAGGTCCCTGTGGCCCAATTTGGGTCCTGGGCATTGTCCTGGCAGGGGGTGACAGAGTCTGGGGTCGTCCCTGCCACCCAGTTTGGGTCCTGGGCATTGTCCTGGCAGGGATGACCAAGCCTGGTGTGGTTCCTGCCACCCAAACTGGGTCCTGGGCGTTGTCCTGGCAAGGGTGACCAATCTTAGGGATGTCCCTGTGGTCCCAACTGGGTCCTGGGCACTGTCCTGGCAGGGACACAGTGCTGTGCTTGCCATTCCTTAATCCCCTGCAGGGATGTGACTGCAGCACCTCCCAGTGCAGGCTCCAAAACCAGTGAAAATGAAAGATTGGCAAGGTGGAAATTTGTTAATTTTAGAGATTGTTTTGCCTCCAGCCCCGGGGAAGCTTTGCCTTCGTTCTCTCCCACCTCCAGCTTGGGCAAAAATCCCTTTGTGTGTTCTCCTGGCCACAGTCCCAGAGCTTTTTGCGGGGGACAGTGTCCTTGTGACCCCCCCAGAGCCCCCAGGAGCTGAGATCTGCTGCTTTCATCTCAGGCAGCCTCGTGGATTTCCTCAAGACCTCGGAAGGAGTCAAGCTCAGCATCAACAAACTCCTGGACATGGCAGCTCAGGTGAGGGCAGAGCAGAGGGATGGGGACGGAGCTGAGAGAGCTCTGCACGGCTGGAGCCGTTAATTAACGACTGCAACTCATTAATAATCACAAACCCCAGGTTGCTGAAGGCATGGCTTTCATCGAGGCCAAGAATTACATCCACAGGGACCTGAGGGCCGCCAACATCCTGGTGTCGGACACTCTGTGCTGCAAAATCGCCGATTTTGGGCTGGCCCGGCTCATCGAGGACAACGAGTACACGGCTCGGGAGGGTGAGCCCCGCCCGCCCGGGGGTCACAGGGCTTGGGGACATCGGGACAGGGGCCCTGGATCTTCGGGGAGCTGCAGGAGAGGGGTGCAAGGATGATTGTCCCTTTTCCACCTCGCTGCCCGCAGCTGCAGCGGGGCTCCTGCTTTGCGCGGCTGCCGCCAAAGCGCAGCGACAGAGCCCGGCCGGGGGCTGGGGGCTGTCCCCGGGATTAACGCTGCGATTCCCGCTCAGCCTGGGCGCTTCATCCCCTCCCTTCGCCTCCCTCCTCGCAGGAGCCAAATTCCCCATTAAGTGGACGGCGCCCGAGGCCATCAACTACGGCACGTTCACCATCAAGTCGGACGTGTGGTCCTTCGGCATCCTGCTCACCGAGATCGTCACCTACGGCCGCATCCCGTATCCAGGTCGGGATTGTGGGGCAGCTGCGGGGCTGGCACGCCCTCGGTGTGCGTGTCTGTGTGTCCGCCTGTGGGTGTGTGTGTCTGTGTGTCTGTCTGTGGGTGTGGGTGTGTGTGTGTGCATGCAGTGCTGCACGCACGCCACTGCCAGCCTGGCTCCCTGCCCAATGGGGCTGCACCGGGCACCGGAGCCACCTGGGGAGGGGTTTCAGGCGTGGGAGGTGCCCCCCATGCGGGGTTTGGGAGGGTGGGGTGGCAGCTGTGACCCAAATTGGGTTCTGGGCACTGTCCTGGCAGGGGTGACCAACCTTAGGGGGGTCCCTGCCACCCAAAATGGGTCCTGGGCATTGTCCTGGCAGGGATGACAAATCCTGGGGTGGTCCCTAAAACCTGGGGTGACCCAAAATGGGTCCTGGGCATTGTTCTGGCAGCAGTGACCAATCTTAGGGGGCTCCCTACCACCCAAAATAGGTCCTGAGCATTGTCCTGGCAGGGATGACCAACCCTAAGCTGGTCCCCAAAACCTGGGGCTGACCCAAAATAAGTCCTGGGCATTGTCCTGGCAAGGGTGGCTGACCCCAGGATGGTTCCTGCCACCCAAAATGGGTTCTGGGTGTTGTCCTGGCAGGAATGGCCAATCCTGGAGTGGTCCCTGTGGCCCAAATTGGGTCCTGGGCATTGTCCAGGCAGGGGTGAGAGCAATCCTGGCATGGTTCCTGTGACCCAAACTGGATCCTGGCAGGGATGACAACCCCGGGATGGTCTCTGTAACATTGGGGTGACCCAAACCAAGTCCTGGGGGTGACCCAAACCGGATCCTGGCAGGGATGACCAACCCCAGGGTGTCCCCTCCACCATGGGGGTGACCCCCCCTGATCCCCACATCATTCCCCTCCCTCCAGGCATGACGAACCCCGAGGTGATCCAGAACCTGGAGCGCGGTTACCGCATGCCTCAGCCCGAGCAGTGCCCGCCGGAGCTGTACGAGCTGATGAGGCAGTGCTGGAAGGAGAACCCCGAGGAGCGCCCCACCTTCGACTTCCTCAGGAGCGTCCTCGAGGACTTCTTCACTGCCACCGAGGGCCAGTACCAGCAGCAGCCCTGAGCCTTTGGGGTCCCCACAGACCCCATGGACGCCGCCCCGGCCTGGGGGTGAACTCTGTGAACATTTGCAGCGCTCCAGAGCTTGGGAGCAGCAGATTTGACTCCTTCAGGAGGGGCTGAGCAGACCCCCAAGCGCTGGGGGATGGCACAGGGTGCCCACCCTGCTGTCCCTGCCCTTCCAGGCAGGCCCCAGCCCCTCAGGGCTCCCCTAAGCCCGCTCTGTGCCCCCTTCACCCCCTGGGCATGGCGAGAACAGACCCCCAAATGCTAAGGGATGGCACAGGGTGCCCAGGGGGTGCCCACCCTGCTATCCGGTGCCCACTTTGCTGTCCCTGCCCTTCCCTGGGCCACATCCCGGCCCCAGCCCCTCAGGGCTCCCCTCAGCCCGCTCTGTGCCCCCTTCACCCCTCAGTGATGGCAGGAGCCCCCCCAGCAGCGCTGCCCACTGCACCCCCTCGGCTGCGGGACGCTCCCTCTCCCCCTGCCCCAGGGTGTTTGCAGGACCTCTCCCACAATAATTTTGGGGAAATAAAGGCCATTTCAGCGGCGGGGGCCTCGCAGGGCCGGACTGCCATGGGATGGGGTATGTGGGGTGATGCCCGCGGGGCACGGACCCCACTGGGGGTACACGGACCCCACTCGCACCAACTCAGCCCGGGGAGCCCCTGGGACCCCCCTGACCCCACCTCAGCCCTGGGAGCCCCCCCAGACCCTCCCTCGCTCACCCCCTGCCCTGGGGTCCCCCCTCCCCTAGGATGGTTCAGCCCCCCCTTAACCCCCCCTCAGGGAATGGTTCCTCCCCGCCCACCTGGACACCCCTCAGCGATGGTACATCCTCCCCCCTCCGTCCCCCGCCTCAGTGGTACAGCCCAAGCTCCCCCGGCGCTCAGCCTAACTTGCTAGGTGCCGCTGCGGCTTGCGATTGGTCAGCTGGCGAGAGGGGGCGGAACGGAGAGCTGCGATTGGACGAAACAGCGCGGGAGGCGGGGCCGCGGGCCCGGGGCGGGCAGGGTTGGTTGCGCGGCGCGGCGGCGGGTCGGGCGCTGTGAGGGGAGGCAGGAAAATGGCGCTGACGCAGGGCACGAAGCGCAAAGTCTGCTACTACTACGATGGTGAGGGGCTGCGGGCACCCGCCGGGGCCGCCGGGCCGCGGGGGAGCCGTCCCGGGGCGGGGGGGAGTGGGGGGCTGAGGGGGCGGGGTTGAGGGGTGAGGGGAGAATGGGGGGGTGAGGGGTCACTGAGGGGGAATGGGGAGGGGCGGTGAGGGTAATGGGGTCACTGAGGGAGGATGGGGGTGCTGGGGGTGGGATGAGAGGTTGGGAATGGGGGATCATTGAGGTCATGGAGGTGAGGGGGGTTTAAAGGTTTGGGGATGGATCTTGGGGGTATTGATGGGCAGGGGAGGTCAGGGCATGGGGATCAAGGGTGGTGTGGGAGGGCATGGCAGGGATGTGGGGAGCACTGGGGAGGAGAATGGGATGAGAGGGGAAGATCGGGGGGCTGGGATGGGGAAATGGGGAGATTTGGGGGAAGATCAGGGGGATGAGGAAATGTGAGGATTTAGGGGAAGATCAGGGGGATGAGGAAATGTGAGGATTTAGGGGAAGATCAGGGGGATGAGGAAATGTGAGGCTTTAGGGGAAGATCAGGGGGATGAGGAAATGTGAGGATTTAGGGGAAGATCAGGGAGATGGGATTGGGAAATGGGGAGATTTGGGAGAAGATCAAGGGGATGGGGAAATGTGGAATTTGGGGATTTGTGAGATGGGAAAGGCAGGGAAATGTCCAGGTTGGTGAGAGGGGCTCGAGGCCAGGAGAGGCTTTGGGGGCTGAGATGCTGGAGGAGGATTTTGGGGAGGTGCTGGACGGGCTCTGAGGAGACTGAGCCACTCCTGGGACAGCGCTTTGGGGTCAGGAGGGGACAAAAAGGATTTGGGAGCCAGGCTGGCTGTGTGTGCAGGGAGCCAGGAACATCCTTCAGCTCTGGCTCCTTTTGGGGCTGCCCGAGCAGCAGAAAAATCCCAAACCCTTCCCTGGGTGTCCTGTGGGGCTGAGAAATCCCAGTCCTGCCCCTCTCCCTTCCCCTGCTCCTTTTTCACTGGCTCTGGGCTCCCCTTGTGTCAGAGACCTTGTGCAATCCTCTGAAACCAAATAAAAACTTCTTCTTGCTGCTTTTTCCCTCTCTAAAGATGTGCCCAGTGCAGGAACAAATCCTATCCTATTTTTTTCCCTCTAAAATATGATTTTTTTCCCTCTAAAATATGATTTTTTTCCCCTCTAAAAATGTGATTTTTCCCCTCTAAAAATGTGATTTTTTTCCCACTAAAAATATGATTTTTTCCCTCTAAAAATATGGGTTTTTTCTCTCTAGAAATGTAATTTTTTTCCCACTAAAAATGTGGGTTTTTTCCCTCTAGAAATGTAATTTTTTTCCCTCTAAAAATGTGATGTTTTTCCCCCTTAAATGGGAGATTTTCAGCCCTGCTGGGTTCTAATTTTTAAAGGCATTTAATTCTATCTGAAATATGAAATAAGAGCAGCTGTTTTGTTTGAAATGCTGCTGCTGCCCTGCAGGTCTTTGCTGCACAAGAATTTCACAAATTTGAATTCCATACTTTGTGGTGAGATTTTAGTGCCTTTTTTTTTAATTTTATTTTTTAACTTTTAGTGCCTTTTTTTGTAATTTTTAATTTTTTTTTTCTTTTTCACTGTTCTTTTCTGAGCTTGAACATCCGCAGCTGAGGGGGTAAAAAAACTGAGAGGAAATAAATCATTTGTTCATTTTTTTTCCCACCCTGGGAGGTTAAAACAGCCCAACCTGGTGGTGAGAATTCCCTGAATTTTATGGGATGAAGGAATTGGGGTGTGAGGGAAGCTTTGGATGGAATTTCTCCTTTCAGAGCTCCCTTTGGAGGGATTTAACCCCAGCAGATAATGCTAAATTCACATTTTTTAATCTGCTCTGACATCCAGGGATGTGCTCAGCACAGGGAACACGAGCTCAGCCTTGGCCCATTCAAAAATGGGGATTTTTTAAAAAAGCTTCACTGAGTTCTCTGCTTGTATTTTCTCTCTGCAGAGCCTCAAATATCTCTTGAAAGCTCCCCAAAATTTTGATTTTTGAGGTGGTAAAAATACATCCCTGAAAGTGGCACGGTGTGGATTGGCAACATTTCAGAAAATGGAATTATTTCCAGTGGGGAAAAAAAATTTAGATTTAAAAAAAAGTGAAAGAACATTTCCCCAGAGCTCCACAAACAGGAGCAGATTTGCCTGAATTTGGGATTTGCACTTCTGGCATCTCCTGAAAATCCATCCATGGCCAGAGGAGGGAAAACTGCTTGTGCTGAAGGTGCAGGGCGCTGATGAAATCTGAATTCTGCTCTCTGAGTCACTGGCCAGACTGGATTGGAGCTCCTGCTTCCCAAAAGGAGCAGGACCAGCTTGCTCTGCTTCCCCAGGAAAACGAGGCTTGGGAGAGATTCCTGCTCCCTGCAGCCAAAGGGGAAATCTGAAAGGGAAATTGCTGGGAATTTCTGGGAAATGAGCGCCCCAGGGAAAGGAGGTGGGGTAAAAATCCCATTTCTCTGTTTGGAGCAGGGAATCCACATCAGGAGGGGACTTTGGGGCCATAAGAGAATTCCTGAGGGGTGGCTGGGAATGCTCTGGGGGATTGGAAGGAAGAAAAAGGGGTGAAAAGAAGAGTGGGGCTGTAAAAGCAGAGCTGGGTGGTGTTGGCAGAGTTCAGAGTTCCCTGGATCCCGTTTCCCTCGGGTAAACAGGAGGAAAGTGAGGCTCAGGCTGGGAGTTCCTGGGCTGAGTCACTCCCTGAGCTGGGGTGAACTGCAGGGCTCCTGCTGGGGCTGGGAAACAGCCCTGGGACTGGGACTGAGCCCAAACCTGGGAAACAGCCCTGGGACTGAGCCTAAACCTGGGAAACAGCCCTGGGACTGAGCCTAAACCTGGGAAACAGCCCTGGGACTGAGCCTAAACCTGGGAAACAGCCCTGGGACTGAGATCCTCTGACCCTAAACCTGGGAAACAGCCCTGGGACTGACCCCAAACCTGGGAAACAGCCCTGGGACTGAGCCCAAACCTGGGAAACAGCCCTGGGACTGAGCCCAAACCTGGGAAGCATCCCTGGGACTGACCCCAAACCTGGGAAACAGCCCTGGAACTGAGATCCTCTGACCCTAAACCTGGGAAACAGCCCTGGGACTGACCCCAAACCTGGGAAACAGCCCTGGGACTGAGCCCAAACCTGGGAAACAGCCCTGGGACTGAGCTCTGAGCCTAAACCTGGGAAACAGCCCTGGGACTGAGATCCTCTGACCCTAAACCTGGGAAACAGCCCTGGAACTGACCCCAAACCTGGGAAACAGCCCTGGGACTAAACCTGACCCTAAACCTGGGAAACAGCCCTGGGACTGAGCCCAAACCTGGGAAACAGCCCTGGGACTGAGCCCAAACCTGGGAAACATCCCTGGAACTGAGATCCTCTGAGCCTAAACCTGGGAAACAGCCCTGGGACTGAGCCCAAACCTGGGAAACATCCCTGGGACTGAGCCCTGACCCTAAACCTGGGAAACAGCCCTGGAACTGACCCCAAACCTGGGAAACAGCCCTGGCACTAAACCCTGACCCCCTGTGACCCCAAAGCTGGGAGGATTCCTCCTCTGCACTGCCCCAGCCATGCCATGGGTTGGGTTGGGAGATGATCCAGCCCCTTTCCAAAGGCAGGGACACCTTGCAATGGGTGGCATTCCAAATTCCCTGGCTCCAATTTGAGGGGCAACCCTGAATCCATGGATATCCCTGGAGATTCCCAATCTTGGAGATTCTTCCTCTGCATTGCCATGGAATGGTTTGGGTTGGGAGCTGTGGAATGGTTTGGGTTCAGAGCCATGGAATGGTTTGGGTTCAGAGCCATGGAATGGTTTGGATCCAGAGCCATGGAATGGTTTGGGAGCCATGGGATGGTTTGGATTCAGAGCCATGGAATGGTTTGGGTTGGGAGCCATGGGATGGTTTGGGTTGGGAGCTGTGGAATGGTTTGGATTCAAAGCCATGGAATGGTTTGGACTGGGAGCCATGGAATGGTTTGGACTGGGAGCCATGGGATGGTTTGGATTCAGAGCCATGGAATGGTTTGGATTCAGAGCTATGGAATGGTTTGGATTCAGAGCCATGGGATGGTTTGGATTCAGAGCCATGGGATGGTTTGGATTCAGAGCCATGGGATGGTTTGGATTCAGAGCCATGGAATGGTTTGGATTCAGAGCCATGGAATGGTTTGGACTGGGAGCCATGGAATGGTTTGGATTCAGAGCCATGGGATGGTTTGGGAGCCATGGGATGGTTTGGGTTGGGAGCCATGGAATGGTTTGGATTCAGAGCCATGGAATGGTTTGGATTCAGAGCCATGGGATGGTTTGGATTCAGAGCCATGGAATGGTTTGGATTCAGAGCCATGGAATGGTTTGGATTCAGAGCCATGGGATGGTTTGGATTCAGAGCCATGGGATGGTTTGGATTCAGAGCCATGGAATGGTTTGGGTTGGGAGCCATGGGATGGTTTGGATTCAGAGCCATGGAATGGTTTGGGATCCATGGGATGGTTTGGATTCAGAGCCATGGAATGGTTTGGATTCAGAGCCATGGAATGGTTTGGATTCAGAGCCATGGAATGGTTTGGATTCAGAGCCATGGAATGGTTTGGGTTGGGAGCCATGGAATGGTTTGGATTCAGAGCCATGGAATGGTTTGGGTTGGGAGCCATGGAATGGTTTGGGATCCATGGGATGGTTTGGATTCAGAGCCATGGAATGGTTTGGGAGCCATGGGATGGTTTGGGTTGGGAGATGATCCAGCAGCACTGATCCAATTCCAGCCCCATTCCTCTAGTGGCATTCCAAATTCCCTGTGTGAAATTTGAGGGTGAAAACCCTGAATCCATGGATTTCCCTGTGCCAGGAAGGTGGGAAATCCCAGTCACTGCTGGAGGAGAAACAAATCCCAGAGGAGCTGATGGTTCCCCCTGCAGGAATTGCTGACAAACTCCTTTCTGCTTCCAGGGGATGTTGGGAATTATTATTATGGCCAAGGACACCCCATGAAACCCCACAGGATCCGCATGACCCACAACCTCCTGCTCAACTATGGCCTCTACAGGAAGATGGAGATCTATGTAAGCTCATTATTGCATGTCATAATTAATGTTTCATGCTTTAATTGTGGAGCTTTTCTCTGGGAGGAAAGGAGCAAACCCCAATCTGTTGTGTTGGTGCATTTCTGGTTTCTTCTCAGAAAGTGAGGGGTTCTGTGCTTCAGAGAGGCTTGCAGCCAGCAAAACTGATTTTAATCCTTGAAATTAAATTTATTTCCACGTCTGCCTATGTAACACTCACCAACAGTGCCATTCTTACCTTTCAAATTCACTTTTTCCTACTTAGCACTGCTGCTTTGATACTTCTCACAGTTCCTGGGGGGAAATGTGGCACTGGAAATGGGAACTGGGGAGGGAGTAAATCCCAAAGCAAATCCCAAAGCAAATCCCAAAGCAATCCTTGCTGTGTTGCTGTCCTTGCAGCGTCCCCACAAGGCCAATGCAGAGGAGATGACCAAGTACCACAGCGATGATTACATCAAATTCCTGAGGTCCATCCGCCCTGACAACATGTCTGAGTACAGCAAGCAGATGCAGAGATGTGAGTGGTGCTGCAGCTGAGAACCTGGAAGTTTGGGATAAATTTCTGACTTTGCTGCTTTTTTTTTGGGGGGGATTTTTCTGGTGAATAAAGAATTTAAAACCAGGTCCCACTCTCAAGCTTAAGGAGTTGAGGGAAATCCTCTCACCTGGCTGTATTTTGGGGGTTTTTTTGTTGTTGCCTAAATTTCTTTCCTGGCTTGGAGATGACAGAATTGCTCCATTTCTGACCTGTGTGGAGTTTGTGTTTGTGCTCATCTTCAACCAGAAGAGTTGGTTTAAAACCAGCACATTTAAAACCAGCAAATTAAAAAAGCCCCAAATCCTCAATTCTACCCCAAATCTGAAGGATTTTCAGGGCAGGGTGAGATACTCATCAATACCTGATGATTTTATGGGTTAATTTCTTATTCCAACCTCTCCAATCCATGGAGCAGCTCTTTAATGGCACAAAACCCTGATTTGGTGTCTCAGCCACTCTGAGCTGATGTTTTTATGGCAAAATAAATTTCAAACCAGCCCTGCCAACCAGTGGGGAGAGCTCAAGCTTCATTTAAACAACATTTCACTCTTGGAAACCCCCTGAGAGCTGAAGGGGACAGATATTTCTGCAGAGGTTCGTGATTAATACACACTGAAAGCTTCCCCCAGCCCATGATATTCTTTAATCCACCAAATGACATCCAGCAAAATGGATTTTTATACCCAAAGTGACCTGTTTACCCCTGGAGCAGCCACAGCTCATGAACACTCAGCTCTCTCTGGTGCTCAGTGTTTTTTCTGCACTGTTTTGTTATTTCTGCAAAAGTCAAAATGTGAATTTGAAACGTGCAAAGGACAGAGCTTTTCTTCCACAAAACCTGCTGGAAAGGGCATGAGCAGTCTCTAATTCCATTTTGGCATGCCAGGCTTGGGCAGAGTAAATCAAAGGGCCTGAAGTTTAATTTCTGGTAATGAGTGACTATTTTTAATGGTGGAATTAATTACAGCAAGAATTTATTGAGGCTAAAACTCCAGTAGGGCTGAGAAGCCAAAGCTGTGGGATCTGAAGTCAAAGGAGTGTGCAAAGTGTCAGCCACACATTTCCATTGCATCATTTGATCTCTGCATTTTCTTTAACACTTTTGGCCACTTTACAAATCCAAATATTGGGGTAAAGTTCTGATTTTATTTCTGCTTTTATTTTAATGATTTTTTTTCCCTTTCTCTTCCAGTTAATGTTGGGGAGGACTGCCCTGTGTTTGATGGGCTCTTTGAGTTCTGTCAGCTCTCTGCTGGAGGCTCTGTTGGTAAGATCACAAATCCTGTGGATTTTTTATTGTGTTTTATTTTATTTTCTGTCTCTGTGAACCTATTGCTGATTTAATAATGAAATCCAGATTTCTCCAAGCTCTCTGCCTGTTGAATCCCTTTTCATTTGTTAATCACTAATTTGGGTTCCCTCCCTGAAGGAGTGAGGAGCTCTGGAACAACACCAGTGAGTTAAAACAAAAAAGAAAGAGTTAAAACAAAACCACAACAGCACAGTTGAATAAAAAAAAAATCAACCTGAGCTTTACATTGAAATAAAAGTTGTAAAAGTCTCACTCTGAACAGGCACAACCTGAAAAGGAAAGACCAGTGTGGCTTAGGTGCTGTTTTTTTAAAAAAAAGCAGAAACTGAAAGGTTTGAGAGCTGGAACATTGAAATTTTATTTTTTTTTTATTTTCTCACAAGTCCCAGCAGAGCTGTTTGTGTGCACAGCCTGAGCTCTGTGGCTGCTGCTGCCACAGTGACACCTCCAGCCTGGATTTCCTGTGCCAGCAGCAGCCCAGCACTGACTGCAGCAGCCTCTGAAGCAGCTCTGTGCTCTCTCTGCTCCCAGGGCTGCAGAATTCCACAGAATTCCTGATTTATTGGGAGCCTGGCAGGTTCCAGAACGTGCAGAATGTTGGTGGAAGGGGCTGGGGTAGGGGAACTCCCTCTGGATGCATTTTCACTCCATGACCTGAACAAATCTCAGCTCAAACCTTGCTCTGCTCAGGGCTCTGAGAAACCAGAGTGACCCCAGCTGGGTGCTGGGTTTGTGGGGATTTTCCTGCTCTGAGGCCAAAGTGGGAAAGGGTGAGAAATATTTCCCATTTCCCTTGGTTTATGGGGACATCCAGGATCAAACCTTTGATTCCCAGTCAAAACTGGGAAAAAAAGATGAGAAATATTTCCCATTTTCCCTTGGTTTGTGGGGACATCCAGAGTCAAACCCTGGAGCAGGAGCCCCCCCAAAACCCCAGGGAGGAGCTGGAGCTTCCCCTCAGGCTCTGTTTGAGGCTTTTCCCTCCTGCTTTAACCTGTGTGGGATTTCCTCCTCAAACCTTGCTCTGCTCAGGGCTCTGAAAAACCCAGATTATCTCAGTGTGACCCCAGCTGGGTGCTGATTTTTGGGGATTTTCCTGCTCTGGGGAAAAAATGAGAAATATTTCCCATTTTCCCTTGATTTTTGGAGACACCCTTTAGCAGGGAGCCCCTAAAACCCCAGGGAGGAGCTGGAGCTTCCCCTCAGGCTCTGATTGAGGTTTTTCCCTCCTGCTTTAACCTGTGTGGGATTTCCTCCTGCAGCCAGTGCTGTGAAGCTGAACAAGCAGCAGACAGACATTGCAGTGAACTGGGCTGGAGGTCTCCACCACGCCAAGAAATCAGAAGCCTCTGGGTTCTGCTACGTCAACGACATCGTGCTGGCCATCCTGGAGCTGCTCAAGTACGGGCAGCGCCTCTGCCTCCTCTTCCTCACTGCTCCTCCTCAGCATTTTTCATTTATTCTGGGTGTTTTCTGGGTTTTTTTGGGCTCTGCTCCCCTCTTTCTCAAAGGGATTTTGGAAAAAAAAAATTACAAAATTTTTGGGAATGTAATATATAACATGTGATATATGACATATAATATATGACATATAATATATGACATATAATATATGATATATAATATATAATATACGACATATAATATATGATATATAATATAATTTAGCATATGCCATGACATTACATTATATGATATGATATATAATATATTATAATATGATAATACATAATATATAACATATAATATGTAATATGTAATATATAATATGTAATATATAATATAATTTAGTATATGCCACGACATTACATTATATAATATGACATATAATATATGATCTAATATAGAATATTTAATATATAATATGATCTAATATATAATATATAATATGGTACCATGTGATATAAAATAATATAAGATATAATATATACTATAATATAACATAAAATACTATAACATTACACAGCATAACATTTAGAAGAATATATAATAATATGCATAATATAATATATGAGATATATAATTATAATAATTCTAATACAGATTATTATGTACTATAGTTATCTATTTTATTAGAAATAATTATAATATTTTTACTATTACCATAAATATACTCGTTATAATATTATGATAAATATTATAAAAATTATATTTTATTTATTGTAAATTAATTAAATTCTAATTTGGGGGGATTGTAAATCAATCCCAGCTCCTCTGGGACTTATTTCTCCCCCAGCAGTAGCTGGGCTCTCCCTGGCACAGGGAAATTCATGGATTTCTCTTCCTGGCACAGGGAAATTCCTGGATTCAGGGCTCCCCCTGAAATAAGAGAGAGAATTTAGAATTCCACCAGGGCAGGGTTTGCCTCAGCAGGAGCAGAGGATTTTTGGAGCTTTTTGGGTGTCACATTATTTTGCTGCTGTTCTTTGTCCCACCCATGGCTGTGTGACAGCCTCTGGCTCCAGGCAAACCTCGCTGTGGGAGGCTTGGGCAGAAAAATGTGCAGAAAAATGTGCAGAAAAAAATCTGCATAAAAATGCACTTTATTGGCTGAATCTGAACCAAACTCAGCAGCAAAAATCACTTTATTTTCTCTCCCACTGCTGTCCCTTCCCCTGTAGATCCTGGCCTGAATTCCCTGCTCTGAAGGCAGTTTTTCCCATAAATAAATGCAATATTCTGATTTTTTCCAGGTACCACCAGCGAGTGCTGTACATTGACATCGACATCCACCACGGGGATGGGGTGGAGGAAGCTTTTTACACCACAGACAGGGTCATGACCGTGTCCTTCCACAAATATGGAGAATATTTCCCAGGAACTGGGGACCTGAGGGTGAGAGCCACCAAATTCCCAGGAATTTTGGTGTTTTTTTCCAGCTTTTTTGGGGGGTTTATTCCAGCTTTTTTGGGGATTTTTTCCAGCTTTTTTGAGGTTTTTTTTCCAGCTTTTTTGGGGTTTTTTCCAGTTTTTTTTGTTTTTTTTTTTTGTTTTTTTTTTTTTTTTGTGGTTTTTTTTTTTTTCAGTTTTTTTGGGTTTTTTCCATTTTTTTAAGGATTTTTTTCCAGCTTTTCCACCCTGTCCCTGTGTGACACCCATTTTCTGGGGGCAGAGGGGTGGATGATCATTTTTTAAAGCCAAATCTTTGCTCTCAGTCTCTCTGGTGGGGTTGTGCTCACAAAAATGACTCCAAAGGTGACATTTTGGTGGCTTTGCAGCCCCAGCTTGGTGACACAAACTCTTGGTGAAGGTTTCTGAGGGAGTGGATTTTTATTGGCACTTCCTGTAGTGACTCAGAGTCTCACCTGTCACTTGTGACATTACCAGAACTTCTGTTCTCAGGGGTGAAAGGTTCTTTACTTACTTTTAAGGGATTTTTACAAGAATTGTGATTTTTTTTTTTTGGTCTAAATCCTCTCATCTTTCACATGGGATTTGTATTTTTTCAGCCCTACCCAGAACTTGTTGCTGCACCATAAATGAAAAAAAACCCAATTTTTAATAAACCACTTGTCTGTGAACGTGATAAAACCTTAAAATATATAATATTTCAGTGCAGAATATTTTATTTTTATTTAAAAGTAGAATTCAGTGACTGAATAAATTCAGTGACTGAATAAATTCAGTGACTGCCCAGCCCAGCCCAGCCCAGCCGGCTGCTGCTCATCTCTGCATTAAATCATTAATATTTAACAATATTAATTACTCTGGCTTAATATCTGGATGAGGCTGGGTTCCAAGCTTCCTTTCCCAGTTTGGGGCAGGATTTGGGTTTCTGGTGAGCTCTGTTCTGCTCTCTCAACCCGCAGGACATTGGGGCAGGCAAAGGGAAATATTACGCTGTCAATTATCCCCTGCGGGACGGCATCGACGACGAGTCCTACGAAGCCATTTTCAAACCTGTGAGTGAAACCTCCTCTGCTCAGGGATCCTCTGTGCTCCCACTTTGTCCTCAGGGCCATTCTTTAGGGGATTTTATTGAGTTTTTCTGGGATTTTTTTTTTTTTTTAATGGGACAAGGTTCAACCGAGGGCTCTGTTCTGCCCCCAGAACAATCGGGGTCTGTTGGGAGCTCCTGGGTGTGAGAGCCCCGGTGTTGGCTGGGGATTGAATTGTGCTGGGGATTGAATTGTGCTGGGGATGGAATTGTGCTGGGGATGGAATTGTGCTGGGGATGGAATTGTGCTGGGGATTGAATTGTGGAAAAGCCCAGAGCTGAGCAGGGTCCATGAGCTGTGCATGAGGAGGATGCAGGGTTTCAATCCAAGGATTTGGCCCCCTTGGGTTGTGGGGACATCCAGAGTCAAACCCTTGGGCTGGAGCTTTGTGGATCCCCCACAAACCCCAGGGAGGGGCTGGAGCTTCACCTCAGGCTCTGTCCCAGCTGTGGGAGCACCAGGCATGGCCTGACAGGCCTGGCTGTCACTGTGCTGCTGTGACAGTGGCCTGTGGGCAGGGGGGTGACAGAGCCTTTGTTCTTTAGGTGATCTCCAAGGTGATGGAGACGTTCCAGCCCAGCGCTGTCGTCCTGCAGTGTGGCTCTGATTCCCTGTCTGGGGACAGGCTGGGCTGCTTCAACCTCACCATCAAAGGTAGGGGCTGAGCTGCTGCTCAGCAGGAATGCCATGGAAAAGCTGGCATGTTGGGAAGGATGAGAGTTTGACAAGAAAGTCTCACAGATGTGTGTGTGCTTAGCAGAAAGATTTTTAAATGTAGAGTCTGATGAAGGAATAGAGATGGAAGCAAGTTTTGGTGTAGAAGAAAAGAATTGCTGAGCCAGTCTGACTGGATAACCAAGGAGGCAAAGGGGGTGTGAGTTATCATGAGGGGTTTGTATGGCTTACAGCAAAGGATAAACCCACCCCAAACCAGATGTTTTTACCAAGCACAAAGGAGCACAGGCAAACAAGGCAGCAAAGTGGCAAGGAGAAAAAAGGTCTCAGAAAGCAAGAAAACTGAAAACCAACTTCTAGCTTAAACTGTAATGTACTGACTGTTAGTGACTGGAGAACAGTAACATGAATATGGTAATTACAGCAGTTATGATAGGCTGTAGATAAAAGTTAAGGTATAGATTGGTTCTGCTGTGTTGAGATGCTCAGGAAAGAAAAGCACAGAATGCATTGTGACCAAAAGAAAAGTGTAGAATGCATTGGAACCAAAAGAAAAGTATAGAATGAATTGTGACCAAAAGAAAAGTATAGAATGCATTGGAACCAAAAGAAAAGCATTGAATGCATTTGTAACCAAAAGAAAAGTAAAGCATTTGTAACCAAACCCAAAGGGTCTCCAGGCCTGCCTGCAGCTGGAGCTGACAGCTGTGGGCACAGCTCTGTCACCCATGGCCCTGGACTGCTGGAACCTCTTGGGTACAATAAACTGCATTTTGGATACAATAAACTGCATTTTGGATACAATAAACTGCATTTTGGATACAATAAACTGCATTTGGAGAGCCCCTGGAGTCCCACATCCCTCATTCAGGCTCTTACACTGGCATTGATACCACAAATGTCACCTTTTTATTTGCACTGCAGGCCATGCCAAGTGTGTGGAGTTTGTGAAGAGCTTTAACCTGCCCATGCTGATGCTGGGAGGAGGGGGGTACACGATCCGCAACGTGGCGCGCTGCTGGACCTACGAGACTGCTGTGGCTCTGGACACTGAGATCCCCAATGGTAACCCCCCCCTGCAGCCTGGGGCAGGCCTGGCCTCACTGATACCCCCCTGCCTCTGTTTGCAAAGCCAGGAGGCTGCTGAGGAAGGCAGGAGCCTCCCCTGAAATGGAGAATGTCAACCCTCCCCACCCCTCTGAATTGCTATGAATTTTAAATTAAGGGGCTCTCAGGGAAAATTATGGGAGCAGGAAATAGCAGTTTTTTAATAGGGAAGAAAATAAAAAAGATAAAATGAACAATGCAGTGAACTAGAACAACAGTGCCAGAGTCAGAACCCAGCCTGACACCCTGTGGGTCAGGCTGGTGGCAGCAGAACCATTGGAATTGTGGCTCAGCCCTCCTGCAGTGCCAGGGCTGGTTCTGCTGGAGCAGGGATCCTGGAGAAAGGTGCAGTCTCTGCCTCTGCAGATCCAGGGCAAGAGGCAGCTGCTGTTCCTCTGGGCAATGCAGTGCAGAAGCCGTGCTGGTGTTCCAGAATCTCCAGATTCTATCCGGGTAGGAATGCTTGAAATCTCAGATTCTATCTGGGTAGGAATGTTTGAAATCTCAGATTCTATCCAGGTAGGAATGCTTGAAATCTCAGATTCTATCCAGGTAGGAATGGTTGAAATCTCAGATTCTATCCAGGTAGGAATGTTTGAAATCTCCAGAGTATATCCAGGTAGGAATGTTTGAAATCTCCAGGTTATATCTCGGTAGGAATGTTTGAAATCTCCAATTATATCTGGGTAGGAATGTTTGAAATATCCAGATTCTATCCGGGTAGGAATGTTTGAAATCTGGAGATTATATCTGGTTAGGAATGTTTGAAATCTCAGATTCTATCCAGGTAGGAATGTTTGAAATCTCCAGGTTATATCCAGGTATGAATGTTTGAAATCTCCAGATTCTATCCAGGTAGGAATGTTTGAAATCTCCAGGTTATATCCAGGTAGGAATGTTTGAAATCTCCAGATTCTATCCAGGTAGGAATGTTTGAAATCTCCAGGTTATATCCAGGTAGGAATGTTTGAAATCTCCAGATTATATCCATGTAGGAATGTTTGAAATCTCCAGATTCTATCCAGGTAGGAATGCTTGGCTCCTCCCTCTGGGCTCCCATCTGCCAATGGGATGCTGTAGTTCTTATCAGCCATGCAGGGACATTCCATAGCTGTTATCAGCAATGTCCCCTCCCGAGGGAGGAGTGATTGTGGTCACTCAGAGAGAGATAAGGCAAACTGCCCACTTGATAAAAGATAATCTGCCATGCAGATGGTAACAGAATCCACCCTGCCTTGCAGTCTGGAACACCCCCAGAGCTCAGGTGCAGAATTTGCAGGCAACCCCAACAAGGGAAGAGATGAGAGTCTCGACTCCATGTTTCAGAAGGCTGATTTGTTATTTTATGATCTATATTATATTAAAAGAAAATTATACGCTAAAACTATACTAAAGAATAGAAGGGAAGGGAAGGAGAAAGGAAAGAAAGGAAAGGAGGAAGGGAAGGGAAGGGAAGGGAAGGGAAGGAAAGGAAAGGAAAGGAAAGGAAAGGAAAGGAAAGGAAAGGAAAGGAAAGGAAAGGAAAGGAAAGGAAAGGAAAGGAAAGGAAAGGAAAGGAAAGGAAAGGAAAGGAAAGGAAAGGGAAAAGAAAAGGGAAAAAGAAAGGGAAAAGAATGATAATAAAATCTTGTGACTGACCATAGAGTCCGAGCCAGCTGGGCTGTGATTGGCCATTAATTAGAAACAACCACATGAGCCCAATCCCAGGTGCCCCTGTTGCATCCCACAGCACAGATAACCATTGGGTACATTTTGTTCCTGAGGCCTCTCAGGAGGAACAATCCTAAGGAAAGGATTTTCCATAAAATGTGTCTGTGACACTCAGGGCCGTGCTGCTGCTGCTGGGCTTCTCTTACCTCTGCATGTTCCCTTTGGGATTGCTGAGTGCTGTACCCTGCTGATAATCTGGTGTTAATTACCATTAATTTCCCCTCAGAACTTCCATACAACGACTACTTTGAGTACTTTGGGCCAGACTTTAAGCTCCACATCAGCCCCTCCAACATGACCAACCAGAACACCAACGAGTACCTGGAGAAAATCAAGTGAGCACTGGGGGAACGGCCCTTCCACGGGGCTGGGGGCCTTGGTGGCCCTTGGTGACCAAGTGTCCTTCCCTGGCTGGCTCTAGGCAGAGGCTCTTTGAGAACCTGAGGATGCTCCCTCACGCTCCTGGCGTCCAGATGCAGCCAATTCCTGAGGATGCTGTCCAGGAGGACAGCGGGGATGAGGAGGAGGACGATCCTGAAAAACGCATCTCAGGTTGGGGATGGGGATGGGTTAGAACTGGGCTGGGATGGGATTGGGCTGGGGATGGGATTGGACTGGGGATTGTACTGGGATTGGGCTGGGGATGGGATTGGGCTGGGAATTGTACTGGGATTGGGCTGGGGAATGGAATTGTACTGGGATTGGGCTGGGAATGGGATTGGGCTGGGATTGTGCTGGGGATGGGATTGTACTGGGAATTGGGCTGGGATTGGGCTGGGAAATGGAATTGTACTGGGAATTGTACTGGGATTGGGCTGGGGATGGGATTGGGCTGGGAATTGTACTGGGATTGGGCTGGGGAATGGAATTGTACTGGGAATTGTACTGGGATTGGGCTGGGGATGGGATTGGGCTGGGAATTGTGCTGGGATTGGGCTGGGGAATGGAATTGTACTGGGAATTGTACTGGGATTGGGCTGGGGAATGGAATTGTACTGGGAATTGTACTGGGATTGTACTGGGGATTGTACTGGGATTGGGCTGGGAATTGTACTGGGATTGGGCTGGGGAATGGAATTGTACTGGGGATTGTGCTGGGGATGGGATTGGGCTGGGAAATGGAATTGTACTGGGAATTGTGCTGGGATTGTGCTGGGGATGGGATTGGGCTGGGAATTGTGCTGGGATTGTGCTGGGGATGGAATTGTGCTGGGGATTGTACTGGGATTGGGCTGGGAATTGTACTGGGATTGGGCTGGGAATTGTACTGGGATTGGGCTGGGGATGGGATTGGGCTGGGATTGTGCTGGGGATTGTGCTGGGGATGGGATTGGGGATGGAATTGTACTGGGAATTGTATTGGGGATGGGATTGTACTGGAAATTGTGCTGGGAATTGTACTGGGATTGTACTGGGAATTGTATTGGGGATGGAATTGTACTGGGAATTGTATTGGGAATGGGATTGGGCTGGGAATTGTATTGGGGATGGAATTGTGCTGGAATTGTGCTGGGGATGGGATTGTACTGGGAAATGGAATTGTACTGGGAATTATGCTGGGAATTGTATTGGGGATGGAATTGTGCTGGGAATTGTATTGGGGATGGAATTCTACTGGGAATTGTGCTGGGATTGTGCTGGAGATTGAATTGTGCTGGGATTGTGCTGGGAATACCCCAGAGCTGAGCAGGGTCCATGAGCTCTGCATGAGGAGGTTGTAGGGTTTCAATCCAAGGATTTGGCCCCCTTGGGTTGTGGGGACACCCAGAGTCAAACCCTTGGGCTGGAGCTTCACCTCAGGCTCTGTCCCAGGGTTTCCACTCCTGTTTCACCCTCTCTGCTTTGAATCCATGCCCACCTCCCTGCTGGATTTCTGTAGGACAGGGCCCTGCAGGATCTCTCCTGCCAGCTGATTTCCATGATGGGAAAAACCTGGATTTTTAAGGGAGAGTTACAGCAGTTGCTGAGGGCTGGGACAGAATCCTTGGGAGAATCCTGGGTGTTAAAAATGGAGTTTTCTCTCCAGTTTGGGGTCTGGCAGGCAGATTTGGCAGTGTCAGGTCTGGACATCCCATTGTGCCTAATCCCACTTGCCCACATGATTTTGGAGCAGGTGGGGAAGGGATGAGCTCAAAGATTCATCACCTACCACAAAAAATGCTTTGATCACACCCTAACCCTGATTTCTGTGAGCTCCACTCAGACAATGAATACTGGGAACCTCCTGAGGTTGAAATCTGCTCTGTGCTCTCCCCTTGCAGTCCGAAATTCCAACAAGAGAATTTCCTGTGACGAGGAATTCTCAGACTCTGAGGATGAGGGCGAGGGAGGGCGCAAGAACGTGGCCAACTTCAAAAAAGCCAAACGTGTGAAGGCAGAGGAGGAGAAGGAGGAGCAGGAGAAGAAAGGTGAGCACCAGAGCTGCCTGCAAGCTTTCCTCCTCTGTGTCCTTCATTCTTTCCTCCTCTGTGTCTTTCATTTCATTCTTTCCTCCTCTGTGTCTTTCATTTTTTCCTCCTCTGTGTCTTTCATTTCATTTTTTCCTCCTCTGTGTCTTTAATTTTTTCCTCCTCTGTGTCTCATTTTTTCCTCCTCTGTGTCTTTAATTTTTTCCTCCTCTGTGCCTTTAATTTAATTTTGATTTTTTTTTTCCCCCAGATGAGAAAGAAGAGGAAAAAGCAAAAGAGGAAAAAGCAGCAGCAGCAGCAGCAACAGCAGCAGAGCCCAAAGGGTGAGCCTGGCTCCTCCTGCCATGCCCAGGGGGTTTAGGAGGATTCCAGGGCTGATGGGACAATTTGGGTGAATTTGTCACAAATTCCTCATGAGAAGTTTGCAGGTGTTGAGAGGGCTGAAAAATCAAAATTCTGCCCTTTCTTTCAGCAATGGATGAAAAAATCGGATTTTTAATATGTTAAATATAATTGGTAATAGATTTCAATTATAAAGGAATAATAATTAAATTCATATTAGTTAATTAAAATAATAAAATAATAAAGTAGATTAATTAAATTAATAATGATTAGATTAATTAAAATAATAAAATAGTTAAATGAATTAACTTAATAATGATTAGATTAATTAATTAAAATAATAATTTAGTTGAATAAATTAATTGAATTAATAATGATTAATTATTTTAAATAATAAAATAATAACATAAAATTAATTGAATTAATGATTATATTGGTTTATTAAAATAATAAAATAATTACATAAAATCTTAAATTAATGCTTAAATTAATAACAATTCATTAACAATATATTTTGAATATTATTGGATATATTGAAATAATACATTTAATATAATTAATAATATATTTTAAATATTATGAGATATATTGAAATAATACATTTTAATATAATTAATAATATATTTTAAATATTATTAAATATATTAAAAGAATGTATTTTGATATAATTAATAATATATTTTAAATATTATTAAATATATTGAAACAATACATTTTAAGATAATTATTAATATATTTTAAATATTATTAATTCCATTAAAATAATATATTTTAATATAATTATTAATATATTTTAAATACTTTTAAATATATTAAAGTAATATATTTTAATATATTTAAATTAAATTAAATTAAATTTTAGCTGAAAATCAACCAAATAAGCAACACTTTTAAGCCTTGTTGTTCCATCCAAACCCAAATTAAATTGAATTTTAGCTGAAAATGAACAAATAAGCAACACTTTTAAGCCTTGTTATTCCATCCAAACCCAAATTATCGATTTCAACCAAATCCTTCTCTTTTTTTTTGCTTCCCCAGGGTGAAGGAAGAGACAAAATCCACCTGAGTGGCTGCAGCTGCTGTGGCTTTGGCTCCTGGGCTGCCTCCTCCCTGCAGGATTTCTATTTTCTAGATGTTTTCTGTATATATTTCTATATAATTGTACAAATGACTGGAGAACTGTAAATTATTCCTGGCTGCAGCCCTGGGAGCAGCCCAGCTCTGGTGCCCAGGGAGTTTCACCCTTTGCCTTCCACTTCCCTCCTTGGTGTGGCTCTAAAAACACAAAAATCACTTCCTCCCCTCACCTTTCTCCAAAATAACCTTGGAAAAAAATAATTGAAGTAGAAGTAGTGTCTGCATTTCAGGTTAGGTGGAAAGATGGCCATCAATTCTTGGTTTTTTTGGAATTTATTTCCTTTTTTTTTTGCTGGTTTTAATGGGAAAATTCCCAAACGAAGCCTGGGAGAGACTTTTGTGGTTTCCAGTTAGATTCCACCAAGAGAAAAAACACAAAAAAACCAAAATCCTGCCCAGCTGGTGCCACTTCTCAGGGTCAGAATTGTGCAGTTCTTGAACAGAGTTGGCTCCTCCCTGCAGCAAACTTGGGGAAAGAGGTGAAGCAGCTGAAAAGAAACCTGAAAAATTCCCTTTTTTTGTTGTGTTTTTGCTTTATTTTTTAAAGTGAAGCAGCCCCAGATCTGGAAATTATAAAATTTTAAAATGGAAATCACCCTCAGGGGGTGGCTCAGCTTTCCAAGATGTGGATCCAGGGATTGTGGCAGCGTTTGCTGCAGCTCCAGGGAGGAGAGGGCTGGGATTTTTTACTGGGTTTTTATTCCCTTCTCTGGCTGGGGAGAAAATTCCTCCCCTTTTGGCTTCATTTTTCTCCTGAAAGCCCAGAAATGCCTCAAAGCCAGCCCAGAGCCCGGCTGCCATCTTTTCTTCATGTGTGTCCTTTAAAAAATTTTTAAAACCCAATTTTTTCCTGATTTTTAAGCCAAGTTTTCCAACTGAATTCCCCTCCCAAGGCCGGTAAATCCCAAATTTTTAATCCTGCTGGAACAGCAGATGGGGCTCTGAGCATCTCCCACACCATCCTCACCCTCAAATCTCCTCTGGGACCTTTTTCCCTCTCCTTTTTTACAGCATGGACTGAAAAAAAAAAAACCAAAAAAACCCCAATTTTTATGGGGGATAAAATTCGGATTTTTTTAAAAAAAAATTAAATTTTTTGTTTTAATTTTTTTTCAGGCAATTCCCATTCTCTGCTCTCCTTTCTCAGGGGAGGGGGGGGGGAAAATCCCTGTGGAATTCTGGAATTTTGGAATTCCGGAATTCTGGAATTTTGGAATTCTGGAATTTTGGAATTCTGGAATTCTGGAATTTTGGTATTTTGGAATTCTGGAATTTTGGAATTTTGGAATTTTGGAAAACTGGAATTTTGGAAATCTGGAATTTTGGAATTCTGGAATTCCGGAATTTTGGAATTTTGGTATTTTGGAATTCTGGAATTTTGGAATTCTGGAATTCCGGAATTTTGGAATTTTGGAATTCCGGAATTTTGGAATTCTGGAATTTTGGAATTCCGGAATTTTGGAATTCTGGAATTTTGGAATTCTGGAATTCTGGAATTTTGGAAATCTGGAATTCTGGAATTTTAGAATTTTGGAATTCTGGAATTTTGGAATTCCAGGGGTTTTGCACCCTCCCAGGGGGGCCCTGCTGAGGTTTCAACTCCGATAATGCTGCTAAAAACTTCCCACAGCTTCTTCTTCAAAGGGTTTATTTTTTTAATTCCTCCTTTTTTTCCCCCTCACCGTGGAGTTTTTTAATCTCTTTGGGCTCTGAGTGAGGTTTTCACTCTGATTTTCGGTGGTTTTATGTGAAACAAGAGGGAGATCAGTGGAATTTTGTGTCTGGGCAAGGCGGGAGGGACGGGAGGAGAGGGGAAAATCTATTGGGGTTTTTTAAAGAAGCGTTTATTTTGAATTTTCAGAACCTTTGTAATAAAACTGCTCCATTTCTAGGCTTGGTCTGCTTTGTCCTTAATTAATTAATTAATTAATTCCTTCATTTTCACAGCTTTTTTTTTTTGGGTTTTTTTTTTTGGGTTTTCGTGGAGATCCCAACAAAAAAATTAGAGGTGGAATTAAGATTGGAAAAATGAGGCATTATTAATTAATTAATATATGAATTAAAATTAAAATGAGGCATAAAAATTAATTAAGATTTGAAAAATAAGGCACTAATAATTAATTAAGATAAGAAAAATAAGGCACTAATAATTAATTAAGATGATAAAAATAAGGCATTAATAATTAATTAAGCTAAGAAAAACAAGGCATGAATTCCCCCCTCCTTTGAGGAATGTTGGTTGAATTCCATCCACCAAAACATTTCATTTCTTTATTTATCCTACACTTGAAAATCTGCTGGGATCTCTTCTGTAAATTGTTATTTCCTTTGGAAATGATTTGGGGTTTTTATTTTTAAGAAACACCCTTGGGATTCTCCCTGGGTCTGGAAAAAGGAGCTCAGAACACGATGAATTTGGGGCATTTTTGGGGTTTTTTTGGGTGATTTTATTCCCAGATTCCACCCCTGTCCCTGGCTGGTTTTGTGGTTGGAATGGAGCAATTTGGGAATAATAAATTGATGGGAAATGATGGATTTCATTCATCTTTGGGCTGAATTTAAGGGATTTTATCCAGAATTCAGGAGGATAAAAATTCCTTTATTTATTTAGGGGCAGCTCCCTTGTGGAGCTGAGTGTGGATCCCACCTGAAACGGCCACAAAACCCCAAATCTGCTCTTTTTGGAGTCAAAAAAAAGCAAATTTTTGTGTGTGCCCGGCTCACTTTGGGTGCTGGAGCAGCCCCATCCTCCCTCCCCCCATGGAATCCTCCCCTTCTGGAGCAAAACCTCTGGAATTCCAATGGGATCTCCCCAAATTCCCCTTTTCCAGCATCCCTAAAATGGCTGCCAGCTGCTCCCAAATCCCCCCCAAAATTGGGTAAAAAACCCCATTTATTTCACCCCTCTGCTCAAATAAATGGATCCCTTTGAGGAGCAGATCCCTGATTTTGGTTTCCCTGCATCAAATATGGGAAAATTTTGGGTATTCCCACCAACCTTGAGCCTGGATGCTCCCAAATCCTTCAAAATTGGGGAAAAAACTCATTTATTGCACCCTTCAGCTCAAAGAAATGAATCCATGGGGGAAGCAGATCCTTGATTTTGGTTTCCTTGCATAAAACGTGAAATTTTTAGGATATTCCCACTTACCTTGAGCCCAGATGCTCCCAAATCCCAGTTTGCCTTCAAAATTGGGTTAAAACCCCATTTATTTGACACTTCAGCTCCAACAAACGAATCCATTTGGGAAGCAGATCCCTGATTTTGGTTTCCTTGCATAAAACGTGGAATTTTTAAGATATTCCCACTTACCTCAAGCCTGGATCCTCCCAAATCCCACTTTGCTCTCAAAATTGGGTAAAAAACCCCCAATTATTTCACACTTCTGCTCAAAGAAATGAATCCCATCAGGAAGCAAATCCATCATTTTGGTTTCCTTGCACAAAACCTGGAATTTTGGGATATTCCCACCTACCTGGAGGCTTGGGAAGAGCCTGGATGCTCCCAAATCCCCTTCAAAATTGGGTTTAAAAACCCATTTATTTCACCCTTCTGCTCAAAAGAAGTGAATCCATTTAGGAAGCAGATCCTTGATTTTGGTTTCCTTGCATAAAACGTGGAGATTTTGGGTATTTCCACCTACCTCAAGCCTGGATCCTCCCAAATCCCACTTTGGCTTCAAAATTGGGTTAAAAACCCCATTTATTTCACACTTCTGCTCAAAGAAGTGAATCCCCTGGGGAAGCAGATCCCAGATTTTGGTTTCCTTGCACAAAACATGGAATTTTTGGATATTCCCACCTACCTCAGGCCTGGATCCTCCCAAATCCCAAACCCCCTTCAAAACTGGGTTAAAAACCCATTTATTTCACACTTCTGCTCAAAGAATTCAATCCCTTTGAGGAGCAGATCCCTGATTTTGGCTCCCTTGCATAAAACATGAAATTTTTTGGGTATTCCCCCCTACCTCGACCCTGGATACTCCTAAATCCCAAACCTCTTTCAAAATTGGGTTAAAAACCCCATTTATTTCACTGTTCTACTCAAAGAAATGGATCCCCTTGGGAAGCAGATCCTTGATTTTGGCTCTTTTGCATAAAACATGGAATTTTTGGATATCCCCACCTACCTCAGGCCTGGATCCTCCCAAATCCCACTTTGCCTTCAAAATTGGGTTAAAAACCCCATTTATTTCACACTTCTGCTCAAAGAAATGAATCCCCTGGGGAAGCAGATCCTCGATTTTGGCTCTTTTGTATCAAACATGGAATTTTTGGGTATTGATGAATACCTCGGGCCTAGATCCTCCCAAATCCCACTTTGCCTTCAAAACTGGGTTAAAAACCCCATTTATTTCACACTTCTGCTCAAAGAATTCAATCCCTTTGAGGAGCAGATCCCAGATTTTGGCTCTTTTGCATAAAACATGGAATTTTTTGGATATTCCCACCTACCTCGACCCTGGATACTCCTAAATCCCAAACCCCTTTCAAAACTGGGTTAAAAACCCATTTATTTCACACTTCTGCTCAAATAAATGAATCCCCTTGGGAAGCAGATCCCAGATTTTGGTTTCCCTGCACAAAACATGGAATTTCTGGATATCCCCACCTACCTCAGGCCTGGATCCTCCCAAATCCCAAACCCCCTTCAAAATTGGGTTAAAAACCCCATTTATTTCACCGTTCTGCTCAAAGAAATGAATCCCCTTGGGAAGCAGATCCTCGATTTTGGCTCTTTTGCATAAAACATGGAATTTTTGGATATTGATGAATACCTCGGGCCTAGATCCTCCCAAATCCCACTTTGCCTTCAAAATTGGGTTAAAAACCCATTTATTTCACACTTCTGCTCAAAGAAATGAATCCCCTTGGGAAGCAGATCCTCGATTTTGGCTCTTTTGCATAAAACATGGAATTTTTGGGTATTGATGAATACCTCGGGCCTAGATCCTCCCAAATCCCACTTTGCCTTCAAAATTGGGTTAAAACCCCATTTATTTCACACTTCTACTCAAAGAATTCAATCCCTTTGAGGAGCAGATCCCTGATTTTGGCTCCCTTGCATAAAACATGGAATTTTTTGGATATTCCCACCTACCTCGACCCTGGATACTCCTAAATCCTAAACCCCTTTCAAAACTGGGTTAAAAACCCCATTTATTTCACCTTTCTACTCAAAGAATTCAATCCCATCAGGAAGCGGATCCCAGATTTTGGTTTCCTTGCACAAAACATGGAATTTTTTGGATATCCCCACCTACCTCAGGCCTGGATGCTCCCAAATCCCACTTTGCCTTCAAAACTGGGTTAAAAACCCATTTATTTCACCTTTCTACTCAAAGAAATGAATCCCCTTGGGAAGCAGATCCCTGATTTTGGTTTCCTTGCACCAAACATGGAATTTTTGGGTATTCCCCCCTCCCTGGACCCCGGCTGCTCCTTGCCTTTGCCAGGGTGCAAACAACGCCTCGGAATTTCATTTTTTTTCCGCTTTTCTCCCACCAAACCATCGGGGGCAGGGGCTGGGAGAGCTGGGAGCAAAGGCACGAAATGGAGGAGCTGCCATGGAAAACCATGGGCGGGAGCAGCTTCCAGGGGAAAACCCAAAACCCAGCGCGGTGCAGGTGACAGGAGCAGGGACAGAGGCTCCATTGTCGCCTCCCTGTCCCTTTGTTCGGGAAATCTTCGCTCCCAGCCCTCGCCTTTTGTGCTCCTTTCAGCCCACAGCAGCTAATCCCGCTCTAAAAAAAAAATAAAAAAAAAATTATTTAAATTGAAAGAAACCAAGCTTCAAATCGGGAATTTCGCCTCATCGCGGGGAAAATCCTAATCATAATAATTATTATTTATTATTGTTAATAATTTAATTAGTTTTAGTTAAGAAAATGATTTTAAAAAAATTTTTTCTGGGGAAATAAATAAAAAAAAAGAGGGACTGGGAGGAGAAAAGGTGCAGAGCAGGCAGCTGAGCAGCGATGGGGATGGGCTGGGAAAGTCCTTTGTGGCCGGGGCTGCATCTGCTGCCAGTCAATTAACGGCGAGCGCTGATTAAAGGCAGCAGCTGCTGGGCTAAAGGAGCGGCTGCCATCTTCCCTCGCCGGCTCTCGGGACAAGAAGGACTCGAGCTCTCCCGAAAAGGGGTCACCATTTATTCCTTTCAAATGTTACAGCTTTTGTTTGGTGGTTTGGTTGCTTTTGTTTTTGTTTTTTTTTCTTTCTTTTTTGTATTTTTTTTTACAAGTTAGAAAATTGCAAATCAAGCGGTTTTTTTTTTTCGTTTTTTGTTTTTTTTTTTTGGCCATTAAAAAAATTATTTACAGTGAAAAAAACACCAAAAAAAAAAAACCCAAAAAAAAAAAGAAAACAATGTTGGCTTCACATTATACAGCTGGCAGGGCCCCCTCTGACCACCCCACACCCTAAAAGTTATCCCTTAAAGCAGAATTAAACACAGCGGACTTACAAGCTTTATGGTTTTAAGCCAATAGAAGACATTATAAAAAACTAACCAGATTAGCTTTTTAAACCATCCATTTCTATAGAAAAAAAAAAAAAAAAAAAAAGCACGAAATACTCGAAAATGAAAAAGTCAGAACCGGGAATGTAAACTGAGAAATAAAGAGAAAAATAAAACGAAAAGAAAAAAAAATTTCAAAAAAAAATCAAAAAATTCCATGGAACAGTCAGTGGGAGCAGGAGGAGGGGGGACACAGTCTGGAGGCTGCAGAGATCCAGAGCAGGATTTGGGATCCGGGTTCTTCTTACAAACTGTAAACTCCAGTGGCGTCCGGGACGAATCCTCCTCCCCAGCTGTTGATTATTTTATTTTATTTTGTTGTTGCTGTTATTGTCGGTTTTTTTGTTGTTTTTTTTTTTTCCATTTCCCAAGGAATTCAGCTCAAACTACTCCAAGTGGCGGCGGTGGTGGGAATCCAAACCAGCTTTTTCTACCGGGAACGGGGGGGAGAGAGAGACAGAGAGAAAGGGAGAGAGAGGAGAGAGAAAAACCCAGCGTGGGTGGGGAGGGCGTGCGGGGGAGCCCGGGGGGAGACAGAGACCCCGGTGAGGGGATCCGGGATCGGGAAAGGTGAGAGAGACCCCGGTGAGGGGATCCGGGATCGGGAAAGGTGTGAGAGACCCCGGTGAGGGGATCCAGGATCGGGGCAGGTGTGAGAGACCCCGGTGAGGGGATCCGGGATCGGGAAAGGTGTGAGAGAGACCCCGGTGAGGGGATCCGGGATCGGGAAAGGTGTGAGAGAGACCCCGGTGAGGGGATCCGGGATCGGGGAAGGTGAGAGACCCCGGTGAGGGCGATCCGGGATCGGGGCAGGTGTGAGAGACCCCGGTGAGGGGATCCGGGATCGGGGCAGGTGTGAGAGACCCCGGTGAGGGGATCCGGGATCGGGGCAGGTGTGAGAGACCCCGGTGAGGGGATCCGGGATCGGAGCAGGTGTGAGAGACCCCGGTGAGGGCGATCCGGGATCGGGGCAGGTGACAGAGACCCCGGTGAGGGCGATCCGGGGATCGGGGCTGGTGTGAGAGACCCCGGTGAGGGGATCCGGGATCGGGGCTGCTGTGAGAGAGACCCCGGTGAGGGGATCCGGGATCGGGAAAGGTGACAGAGACCCCGGTGAGGGCGATCCGGGATCCGGGAAGGTGTGAGAGACCCCGGTGAGGGCGATCCGGGATCGGGAAAGGTGACAGAGACCCCGGTGAGGGGATCCGGGATCGGGAAAGGTGACAGAGACCCCGGTGAGGGGATCCGGGATCGGGAAAGGTGACAGAGACCCCGGTGAGGGCGATCCGGGATCGGGGCAGGTGTGAGAGTCCCCGGTGGTGACGATCCGGGGATCGGGACTGGGTCCCCGGTGGTGACGATCCGGGGATCGGGGCTGGGTCCCCGTTGAGAACGGTCCGGGCTGCTCGGGGATGGTCTGAGAGCCCCCTCTGAGGGCGATCAAAGATCCGGGCTGCTCGGAGAGGGTCCTGGGCAGTGTGAGAGCCCTCGGGCTGCTCGGGGAGGGTCGAGGGTGGTGTGAGAGTCCCCGGTGAGGACGGAGGGCGGTGCTAAAGCCGCCGGTGAGGGCGATCCGGGGCTGCTCGGGGGGATCAGGGCCGGTGTGAGAGTCCCCGGTGATGCCGGTCCGGGCTGCTCAGGGAGGGTCGAGGACGGTGAGAGCCCCTGGTGAGGGCGATCAATGATCCGGGCTGCTCGGGGAGGGTCCTGGGTGGTGCGAGAGCCCCCGGAGAGGACGATCCGGGCTGCTCAGGGAGGGTCGAGGACGATCCGGGCTGCTCGGGGAGGGTTTAAGAGCCCCCGGTGAGAACGGAGGGCGGTGCGAGAGCCGCGGGGAGGAGGATCCGGGCTGCTCGGGGAGGGTCCTGGGCAGTGAGAGAGCCCCCGGTGAGGGCGGAGGGTCGAGGGTGGTGTGAGAGCCCCCGGGCTGCTCGGGGAGGGTCCCCGGTAAGAACGATCCGGGCTGCTCGGGGAGGCTTGAGGACGGTGAGAGTCCCCGGTGAGGGCGATCCGGGCTGCTCGGGGAGGGTCGCGGGTGGTGTGAGAGCCCCCGGGGTCCCCGCTGAGGACGAAGCCCGAGCGGTCTCTACTCTTCCTTCTGCTCCTCCGGGCTCGCTGCGGGCTCTGGCCCCGCGCCTTTCGAGGGCTCCTCGGCTTTGGCGGTGTCTCCGTGGCTCTCCCCTCCCTGCTGCTGCTGCTGCTGCTGTTTCTCCTCCTCCTCCTCCTGGCTGCCCGCGGCTTCTCCTCCCTGCTCGGGCTCGCCGCCCTCCTGCCCCTCCTCGGGGGGCGCCGAGGGCTGCAGCCCCCCCGGCGGGGGCTCCTCGCTCCTGCCCTGCTCCTCGGTGGGCGAGGAGCCCGAGGAGTCCCCGGCTTCCTTCTTGTTCTTGCGGAAGGAGATCCCGCTCAGCTTGAAGGGTTTCTTGAAGGAGAATTTCTTCTTCTTTTTCGGGGCGTCCTTGGGGTCGCGGCCCCTTCGCCTTTGGGCTCGGCAGGCTCGGCGGCGGCCGGGGCGGGCTCGATGCTGTCCGCACCTCCCGCTTCGCCCTCGCTCTCCTCCTTGGGGGGTTCCGCCGAGCCGTTCCCGTTCTGGGGGGGCGCCTCGACCCCCGCCTTGGGCGTCATGTCCCCGTTGTAGATCACGTGGCCGTTCTCCTGCGGGGGGAGCGCGTCAGGCACCGCCGGGACCCCCGAGCCCCCTCCCCAAAACCCCCGCACCCCACAACAAAGGGCGCCCGGCCGGGAGAACGGGGGGCACCGAGCACGGGGGGATCCACCGGGACAACGGGGGGCACCGAGCACGGGGGATCCACCCGGGAAAACGGGGGGCACCGAGCACGGGGGATCCACCCGGGAAAACGGGGGGCACCGAGCACGGGGATGGAGGCACCGAGCACGGGGACAAGGGGGGGGTTTGGAGCCGCTGGAAGCGGGGAGCACCGGGCACAGAGCGGGGCTCCCCCGAGGAAAGGAGCGCACCGGGAGGTGCCGAGCCACAAAAAGGGGGTGCAAAGGGCCTGGCTTGGGGTCTCACGGGGGGATCCGCTCGGTGTGGGGGGGGGCCCAGCGCGCTACCACCGGGCGGCGCCCGCGCTCCACTCCCGGTACCGGGCGCGGCGGCGGCGGCGGACGGGACCCGCCCGGTGCCGGGGGGAGCCGGGGCGCGGCGCGGGCGGTGCCGCATCCCCCGGTACCCGCCGGGCTGGAGAGTCCCCCCGGGGGCTGGAAGGTTCCCCTCAGCCCCATCACGGCTCCAGCACCGCGCCCTCCCCGCCGCGCCTTTGTCCGCGCCGCCGCCCGTCCCGGCGGGGCGCACGGAGCCCCCCCGGTGCCCCCGGTACCCACCTGCCCGTTGGCTTTGGCGGTGTCGGCGTCGCCGCCCGCCGTCTTGGAGCCCTGGCTGCCCATGGTGCGGCACTTGGGGAGGTGCCGGCCCCGCCGCGGCGGCTGCGCTGGGCGGGAGTGGGGCGAGCCCCCCGCCGGTCCCTGATAAGGCGAGGGGCGGGGGCGGGACGGTGCCGAGCCCGCCCCGGGGGCGGGGGGAGCGCGCTGGAGCCGCCGCCCCGCCCGCACCGGGGGCTTCTGGCGGCCGCCGAGCCCCCGAGCCGCCTGTGCGGCCCCGAAGGTCGGGGCGGGTGGGGTGGGGTCACCCCCGCTCCTGGGTGGGGTCTCACGGCAGCTCCGTCACCCCCGCGGTGCTGCTCGCCCGTCCTTGACACCTTTGGGGTGTCTGTGCCTCGGCCCCCATCACCCTTGGGTGCTGCTCACCCAGCCCTGACGCCCTTAGGGCGCTGCTCCCCCCAAGCCCAGAACCCCCGGGAGCCTCTGCCCCCATCACCAGCACCCCTGCAGTGCCCGTGCCCCCAGCCCCGGCACCTTTAGGGTCCTGTTCACCCCATCCCTGTCACCCTTGGGGTGCTCTCACCCCATCCCTGTCACCTTAAGGGTCCTGTTCACCCCATCCCTATCACCCCTGGGGTGCCCTCACCCCATCCCTGTCACCCATCACTGTGGGATGGTCCCACGGTGCCACTTGGCCCCTTTCTGTCCCCCCCAGGACTGTCGTGGTGCAGGTGGCCTCAGCGCTGTCACCCCATGGTTCTGTCACCCCAGGGTCCTGCTCATCCCAGCCCCATCATCGCTGGGGTGTTCTGCTGTGGGGACAGGGCCCTGCTGTGGGGACAGGCCCTGCTGTGGGGACAGGGCCCTGCTGTGTCACCCTGTGTCCCCCCCTGAGCAGCCTGGCTCACGCACAGGGAGGTTTTCCCCCTCTGGGTGATTCCTCCTCTCTGATTTCCCGGAATTGGAGAACTGAGGGGAAGGGAAAATGGGACTGAGCTGCTAGGCTGTTTGCACTGGATCCCTGCCAGGACCCAGCAGTGCCTTTCCCTCCCTGCAGCACCCAGACACTGCTGGATTCACTCAGTGCTCCCCAAATCCCCTTTTTTTCCCTCCCCAGCCACCAACGCTCCCCGAGGGCAGCTCCCAAGCGCCAAATCCCGAGCTCTGCGCTTTCCCTGCCCTTTTCCAGGCACTCTGCTCCCACCAGGGCTGGCAGCACCCCCTGTCCCCAGCACCCAGCTGTGCCACCAGCCCGGCAGCATCCAAGGCCAGACCGAGAGGGGAAAACAATGTCCCGCTGTGTGTGAAGCACCAACAAGGTCATGTTTTGTCTCTGGCCTCCCTCCCTCCCCCCTGCACACGGCTCAGCCCCGGCAGAGCGAAATTGCTGTTAATTAAAACAGGCGGCATCTTCCTGATTGACTTTTGGGTGCGGGTTGATAAAGAGCCCTTGGCCGGCTGCCGGGCTGGCCCTGAGGGCTCGGGGTGTCCCCAGCAGCCACGGGAGCTGGGCAGGGCGTTCCCTGCTGGGAACAGAGCTCCGGGGAGGCTCCTGCCTTCGGGAGGATCGGCAGTCCGGGACACTGGGGGATTGCTGGGCACACGGTGTTTGTTCCCGGTGCCAGCTCCAGGCTGCTGCTCCTGGGGGAGGAAAAAGGGCTGGGGAGAACTTCCTGGTGTCCCAGCAGCCTTGGGAGATATCCACAGTGGGTTCACACTTCTCTTCCCACCTTCATTTCATTCTGGAATGCGAGCAGGCCTTGTGCTGCTGTGCTGTGCTGTGCCATCCCATCCCAATTCCATTGTGCTCCACACCATCCAATTCTCTTCCATCCCCATTTCATTTTGTCCCATATTGTCCTGTCCATCCCATCCTGTCCCTATGCCATCCCCATTTCATCCTGTCCCATAACGCCCTGCCCCATCCCATCCCACCCCATCCAACTCTATTTCATTCCCATTTCATCTTGTCCCATAACACCCTGCCCCATTCCATCCTGTCCCTATCCCATCCCATCCCCTTTCTGGCTGTACCCAAACCACCTCAAGCACCTCCAGCCCTCACAGCACCCCCCCCAAATCCATCCCTCCACACGACAGCCCCAAGACATTCCCGTGTCCCATCCCAAAGCCACGGGAACCCCAAATGGGACTGGCACCAGCACCTCACCCCCCTGGACCGTTCCCTCTCCTGGTGGCAGCCCCAGTGTGGCTCTGGTTGTTGGGATGGGGACCCCAAAGTGCTCCCTGTGCTTGTGGGGAGGAGTTTCCTTGCATTTAAGGGGGTTTATGGGGCTGGGATCAGCAGCCACCCCATGGACACTTCACCTTCTCCGTGTTTTTCCATGCCCTGTCCCAGAGGAGCAGGGCAGGGGTGTGATGTGTGCAGCACAACCTGCAGCAGGGCTGGGCAGGACGAGGGACACAGCCGGGGGTGACAGTGACAGTGACAGTGCCCACCCTGCCAGGCCCTGCTGGAAGAGCTTTCCCAGCTCCTTCCATGCCCAGGAATTCCCGTCCCTCCCCATCCTGGCTTCTCCCGCGGATCCTCTCCCGCAGGGCCGTGGTTATAAACACCCAACTCCCGGTGGATCCTCCCCTTCCAGGGCACATCTCTGTCCTTCTGTCCTTCCCTGCTCCTCCCTGCCCGGATCTGCTGCCCCTGGAGCTCCAGGCCCTGCCTGTCCCCAGGCACATCCACGATGGATGGAGCTTTCCCTGCTCCTGCCTTTTCCATCTTCCAGCTTTCCCAGTTTTCCCTGCTCCCAGCTTTTCCAGCTTTCCCAAGTCCCAGTTTTTCCACCTCCCAGATTTTCCATCTCCCAGATTTTCCAGCTTTCCCAGCTCCCACTTCTCTCAGCTCCCACTTTTCCCGGCTCCTACCTTTCCCAATTCCCAGTTTTTCCTAGCTCCCAGCTTTCCCAGCTTTTCTAACTCCCAGTTTTCCCAGCTCCCACCTTTCCCAGCTCCCAGTTTTCCCAATTCTCAGTTTTCCCAGCTCCCACCTTTCGCAGCTCCCAGTTTTCCCAATTCCCAGATTTCCCAGTTTTCCCAGCTCCCAGTTTTCCCAGCTCCCACCTTTTCCAGCTTCCACCTTTTCCCAGCTCCCACCTTTCCCCCCTTTCCCAGCTCCCCACGTGCCTGGGGACGCGTGGTGACCCCACGGTGGAGGACACAAGGACCCATCAGAAACCAGAAATCACCAAACTCCACCATAACCCAACCGCCACCAACCCCTCCCAGTGCAAACCAGTGCAAACCAGCGCCCACCAGCCCCGAGCTGGGTCCCAACCCTGCCCTGCTGCCTCCTCCAGGGACCTGGGCATGCTCCAAATGCAGCAGGAGCTTGGGAAGGAGCAGGAATTTGCAGGATCCCCGCAGACAGACAGACAGACAGACGGACAGACGGACAGATTAGGGTCTGTCTGCTCCTCCGGCAGATGGACAGGCAGACAAATCTCGGCTGCTCCTGCCCGCCAGGCCAGATCCTCTCGGATGTTGTTTTCCACTTTCCAGACCTACTTAAACTGCGGCTGATTATTAATTTATTGGGTGTTAAGGAGGCTGCAGGGTAGAGCTGGGAGCTCCGCAGAGGGGCAGGAGGGACCGGCCCAGCCCCGAATTCCCCCGGTCCTTAACGAGCAATTAAGGTAATTAATTATTCATGGGCCCGGCTCATCCTCTCCGGGATTTTATCCCGAGTTAAAGGGGCCCAGCCAGGGCGAGCGACAGCGCTGGGAATAAAAGCAGAGGGATTTCCACATCGATTTATCAATAGCGAGGGAATTAAACTAATTAGATCTCTCCGGGGAGAGAATTCCAGCGGGGAGAGTTGGGCTGGAGGGATGGGGGAGGCTTCTGCCAGCAGGGCAGGGATGGGGACAGCCCTTGGGGACAGCCCAGAGCTGCTTTAGGGTCTGGGGGCTGCAGTGATTGGGACAGCCCAGAGCTGATTCAGGGTCTGGGGGCTGCCCCTGTAGGGTCTGGGGGTTCTCCTGTATAGCCTGGGGCTGCCCCTTCCATCCTGCAGCATTTTGGCCTTCCCAGGACGTGGAAATTCCCCTGGGATGCTCCAGGTTTGCATCCCACGGGGGTCCAGGGCGAAGGGGCTGAGCTTCCCCAGCTGCAGCAGGAAAACCCTCGGTGCTGGGGGATTCCTGGTGGGAGCAGGGCCCAGCAGGAGGAGCGGGGAATCTCTGCCCTGTGCCAAGCTCCGGGCACAGCTCATGGTGCACCTGGGAAAATCCTCCTGGAGCAAGCGCAGCTCTCCTGGGAATCCAGCAGGGCTCCCAAATCCTTCCTGCCCTGGGCAGGGCTCCAGCCCGGGAGGCTCTGCAGAGGCTCTGACTTCCCATAGAAACCATGAAAGGGCCCCTTCTTGTGTTTGCCAGAGCCCCAGCCATTTTTGGTTGTGCAGATCCCATGGCAACCAGCGCCTTCTGCAACTGCGCTCGCTGCTCCCGGGCTGCCGCTCCCCTCCTGTGGGATCATCCCGTGGGACCAGCCCCAGCCCAGGGCCCTTCCCAGCCCCTCACCCCCTGCCCTGCTCCTGCTGAGGTGCCGGGAGTGACAGAGCAGGGAAGAGAGAGGAACCTGCTCCTGTCTTATCTTGGAGCCCATCTGCCCCTCCTTGGGCTCAGGAGCTGGGATTTTTGCAAACAGAGCCCGGCCCCAAACCCAGAGTTGGGATTTTTGCAAACAGAGCCCGGCCCCAAACCCAGAGTTGGGATTTTTGCAAACAGAGCCCGGTCCCAAACCCAGAATTGGGATTTTTGCAAACAGAGCCCGGCCCCAAACCCAGAGTTGGGATTTTTGCAAACAGAGCCAGGTCCCAAACCCAGAGTTGGGATTTATCAATAGCAAGGGAATTAAACTAATTAGATCTCTCTGGGGAGAGAATTCCAGCGGGGAGAGTTGGGCTGGAGGGATGGGGGAGGCTTCTGCCAGCAGGGCAGGGATGGGGACAGCCCAGAGCTGATTCAGGGTCTGGGGGCTGCCCCTGTGGGGTCTGGGGGCTGCAATGATGGGGGCAGCCCTTGGGGACTGCAAACAGAGCCCGGCCCCAAACCCAGAGTTGGGATTTTTGCAAACAGAG